CCATCATCATCATTATCCCATAACACTATGTGTCATTGGGTCACCAGTGTCTGTTAACTGTCTGATCAGCTCTCTCCACCTTTGGCCGGTCAGTTGCAATGGACTTCATGGTTGCATGCCTGAGGCCTGTCCAGTCAGTCAGGATCTGTAACCAGGTCTTTCTTGGTCTTCCTCTTCTCCCTCTACTGAGCTCTGCAGTATTTATTTTGTTTTTTGTTGAGAGGCTGTTAGATCTTATTAAATGTCCATACTATTGCATTTTTGGCCTTTTCACTGTAGTTCAAAGAGGTTCATAGCTTCCACAAGATCAGTGGTCTCTAAACTTTTTTAGATGGCGTCCACCCTTGAGAATATGACAAGACCCCCACACCCCCCTTGAGTATACTATGGCACGACCCCCCCTCCCCCCTTTTGCCTATATAACAAAATGGGATCAAAAAGAGAAGGAATGTGTTCTCAATCTATAATTAAATGCAGGTGTTTTAATAGTAATATACTTTTCTTAACATTAAATAAACAAACTGCTCTTGATAACAATAACGTTCTTGGCTTTTATTTTTTTTAAAGCAGTTTAAATAAATATTTTATTTATAATTTAATTTTAAAAAAAAAGTTAATATTGCAGATTAGTACCTACTTTTACACAGACACACAAAAAAAACTGCTTGACGTCCCCTCTTGGAACTTCTCAACCCCACTCTAGGGAACATGCTCCCCATGTTCGAGACCACGGCTCTAGATGTTCCAATCCTGAAGATTGCCTAAGTTTCTCCTCTTCACCAACTCCATTTCTTCTTCTTCTACTCTCGCGCTTAAAAAATGTTTGGCATGATGTTGTGGTTTATGGATAGGCTGCAATATCTGCTCCTTTCGGTCCAACACATCCGATTTCAGCACAACTGTAGTCACCTTTTATGACATGGGTGTTGCGGGCCAGTAGATCTAGCCCCACCCCCACCCCCAAATGAGGCCTCAGAACCCACATGAGAAACCAAATCAATTTAACCTTCAATAATAAACTCAAGGTGGTCGAGCTTAGAGACATCTGCGACTAAAAGTGAATAATCCCACTCCCCCCACACCACCCTTGAGTTAAAATGCAGAAAATGTATAAATTAGAAACAATACAAGAAAATTAATATTCAAAGCAAGTGTTAACAAACAAAAACATGAACTAATATGTTAACATTCAAAAATGTATCCTGGGTAACCTTAGTTTTAGCTTCATAGCAAATGGGTCACCCCCATAGTAGCTCCGCTTCCTGTGCCAACGACAAACACTGTCCCTTGTGGGAAAAGTGACAGAGACTGCAGTCTCAGCATATTTACTAGCATACACATGCAATAAAAGCATAAGGCAGCCACCAGAAGTGCTAACGCAAACAGTCTGACATCAGAAATGCAGTTCATCATCGACGGAAGCAGCAGTTACAAACAGATCAGCAGTTGCACATGCGATTCATTTTAACCACATAAGGCAACACCAATTCTGTGGCAAAAGGCTACTCGTCATTTTCAGAATCTACAGTTCACAATACCACACTGGTCAGTCGAAAAACATTCCAAATGAAATCCTCAGCTCACAGTGTCATGCCATGCACTCAGCTCAGTAGCTGGGTGACAAAACTATATTCTTTCAGTCTACAAATGGAGGAAAATGCAACGGCCGCTGTCAGAAGCAACAAGTTGCTACAACTATAAACAGTAAACATACCTAACCTCCATTCTGATCGGAAGCAAACTGTATATGTGTGTATAGAGTAAGTCCGAAATATGGCTCCATGTTCCGTGTGCATAAATCTGAAAGCAATGAGTGACTTTCCCGAAGTGTCGTCGATTATTCTGTGATGTGAATGGCAAGAAGCTTGAGGCAATTAAATCACTTTATGTTGTTTTATTACCGTGTCTTGTCAATTTCAAGAATTGCTTTTCCATTGGTGTCATTTATGCAGACACAATTCTATCTTAGGGTTAAACTTTTGCAGTTAAATAACTGGCCACATTTGCCCTTTGAATGCGTTGTGAGATATATATATATATATATATATATATATATATGTGTATGTATGTATGTATGTATGTATGTATGTATGTATGTGTGTGTGTCTCTCTCTCTCTCTCTCTCTCTCTCTCTCTCTCTCTCTCTCTCTCTCTCTCTCTCTCTCTCTCTCTCTCTCTCTCTCTCTCTCTCTCTCTCTCTCTCTCTCTCTCTCTCTCTCTCTCTCTGTGTGTGTGTGTGTGTGTGTGTGTGTGTGTGTGTGTGTGTGTGTGTGTGTGTGTGTGTGTGTGTGTGTGTGTGTGTGTGTGTGTGTGTGTGTGTGTGTGTGTGTGTGTGTGTGTGTGTGTGTGTGTGTGTGTGTGTGTGTGTGTGTGTGTGTGTGTGTGTGTGTGTGTGTGTGTGTGTGTGTGTGTGTGTGTGTGTGTGTGTGTGTGTGTGTGTGTGTGTGTGTGTGTGTGTGTGTGTGTGTGTGTGTGTGTGTGTGTGTGTGTGTGTGTGTGTGTGTGTGTGTGTGTGTGTGTGTGTGTGTGTGTGTGTGTGTGTGTGTGTGTGTGTGTGTGTGTGTGTGTGTGTGTGTGTGTGTGTGTGTGTGTGTGTGTGTGTGTGTGTGTGTGTGTGTGTGTGTGTGTGTGTGTGTGTGTGTGTGTGTGTGTGTGTGTGTGTGTGTGTGTGTGTGTGTGTGTGTGTGTGTGTGTGTGTGTGTGTGTGTGTGTGTGTGTGTGTGTGTGTGTGTGTGTGTGTGTGTGTGTGTGTGTGTGTGTGTGTGTGTGTGTGTGTGTGTGTGTGTGTGTGTGTGTGTGTGTGTGTGTGTGTGTGTGTGTGTGTGTGTGTGTGTGTGTGTGTGTGTGTAAAAAAAAAAAAAAAAAAAAATGCATACCAGAGTCACCAACAAATTTATACACTCCTTAACAGATATCACCTACAAATTTCGGGAGCCGTCGTGGTGTAGCGGCTAGATGTTCACTGATGATCGGCAGGTCAAGGGTTTGGGTCCGAATGATACCGGGACCCCCCCCCCCCCCCAACGACCTTAGCCTTGAGTGGGTACCAGCTAATGTACTTGGAAGTAAAGGCTGCTGGATTTATGCTGACCACATCACCATTCAAGTACTGATTGGTCTATTAAATATGGGTCTAGCCCTATATGCCTTAAGGCATAGAAAATGGTCCTATTACTTTGACTTATAAACTTGTTTTAAAGATAAATCACATTAAGGTAAATTAAAGGATTTCTTAAATTCAAATTCAAATTGGGTATATAGGGCTCACACAAGGGTAACATTTATGTAATGCGATGTTCCCTAAACATTTTAATCATATCTTAACTCTTTGATTGCCAAGAAATGCTTCATACGTTCATGGGTTCCTACTTAGAAGCCCAATGAGTGCCAGATGCACCGATTTTATGTCTCTCTTGCCAACCCCTTGGGGGACTCTGGATGCTATACCTCCTTGGACTCAAAAGAGTTAATAACACTATCAGTCTGCTGCAAATCATCAACAGGACATCTCAAACATACACCATCAATTGTGTGTGTGTGTGAAGTGCGTGAGTGCATGTGCATGTGTGTGGGCGCGTGTGCATGTATTGTGTATAGATGGGTGGTGGGTCTATAAGGCAATTTTACATTCAGTAGTCTTCCCCAGCACTAGTTACTTGTTTGTGGTTTTACTAAGCAATGTTTGGTTCACTAGTCTGGCAGACTGTATACTAGTTCTTATTTTGCTGAAGTGTATTTCCCTTTTTTCTGGCTGACTCTGTAAAACATATACATACATACACCTATATATCAGTGCATGTGTCTAAATAGATATTCATACACATATCCACATGAGTGTATATGTCCAATATGTAGACACACACACACACATATCTATAGGAGTGTAAATGTCCAATGTATATATATATATATATATATATATACACACACACACATACGCATATATTTTGTTTTATATTCGTCCACTGATGTCAATATAATTTTAGTACTATAAATTTTTATATCGTACTTACGTAGGTATATATGTATTTATAACTTTTTACATCAATTTGTGAACATAATGCCAAGCTGTAAATTATCTCAATATCACACAGTAGTACATTTAATAATTCAATAACAACTGAGTAGCAAGCAGACAGCTTTAGATCTTGCAAATAAATGTATATAAGGGCTGTCCCAAAAGCCTCCCTAAATATGAATAATAAATGTACCACCAGGGAGTCGCTGTGCCGGAGCAGCTAGATGCTCTCTGAGAATCAGAAGGTCGTAGGTTTGCTCCCTGGCGGAGCCGGACTTTTTTTAAAAACGACCATGGCTCCCAGGTCGACCCAGCCTTGAGTGGAAGTTGAGGCGGCCGGCGTGATCACATCACCCATCTTGTGCCGATTGGTCTATAACATATAGGTCTAGCCCTATATGCCTAAAGGCGTGGAAAAGGGTTCTTTACTTCCACTTTACTAAATGTACCACCAACATAATTAGTTTTTTGCATCTTCTTTACACGACGTTGAAGCATTTTGTGTGTGGCTATTGTGGTTTTTGTAGGCAAATTTACATTCAGTAGTTTACCACTGCTCGCTAAATAATCAGCTCTCGATGACACCGTTGAATGAACGAACTAACTTTATTTTCAAAGTGTTTAGAATTGGGCACGCAGGCCTGTCTAACACTCTGCCCTTCTCGAACCAATGCAATCTTAAGATTGTCTGCTGCCAAATCGCCTACAGTTGGGACCGAGCCCGGCATTACAAAGCGCATTCACAACACCTTAGCCACAAACGCCGACATCATTTCAAGAAGCGTAACTCCAGAGCTGACGAACACAGCCGGAGTTATGCTGATAATGGCGCTGGTGATACATTTATTGTTCCTACACAAAGAAAATTATGGGATACCCCTTATATTTACAGACATATTATCTCACTCTCTGACACGCAGATGCTCTCGTTCTTTTCTTGCTCCCTTTCCTGACAAGAGACAGACACAAACTAGGACGTAAATCACAATGCTGTTGCTTCCGGCTGTTTCCTGTACTCCTGGCTTGTTGCATGGTGGATGTAGTTGACCAGGCGTTGCCCAACCAAGTACCTGCCACAGGGACGAAAGAGGTTCAAAAATAATAACTAACTAAAATACATGCAGCAGAAAGGAACTATATAGGAACAAATAACTCAAGTGCCTGCAACAGAGAGAAAGAAAGGGGAAAAATAACTAACTCAAGTACCTGCAACAGGAAAGAATAAAGTGAATAAAAGATACAACATAACCAACTCCATACCTGTAGCATCCTGTGTTGATTCCAGGGCCCTATTATAGGGAAAACAAGAACAGACACACGCCCCCCCCCCCCCCCCAAGCATGTCATAGGAGTCAACCTACTGGGGGCTTTCTTTGAAGTCAGAGTGCTCTGCCTGAGAGGCAAGGAACCAACAGTCTGCACACAAATGTGTCAGATCTGTCAAACTGTTGCACATGCAACACTCAGGTTCTAGAACAGGACTGCAGTCCAGAAGTGGACAAACAACCAAAACTTTCCACCAGAGTTTACAGCCGGTTAACGCAAAGAAGAAGAATACCTGTAGCAGGGAGAAGGATTTAAAAAAATAACTTAAGTACCTGTGACAGGGAGGAAGAAAGGAAAAAAAATTCACTCAAGTACCTGCTAAAGGGAGGAAGAAAGTTTAAAAAAAAAAAAAAAAAACTTATCTGCGACAGGAAGGAAAGAAGTAGAAAATAACTCAATCTACAACAGAGAGGAAGGAAATTGAAACAAAATAACTAACTAAAGTGCCTGTGGCAGGAAGAAAGGTGGTGCTAAAAGGCAGAAAAGGGCTAGAGAAGCAAAAGAAGAAGAAGCAGAAGAAGAAGAAGAAGCAGAAGAAGAAAAAGAAAAAGAAGAAGAAGAGGAAGAAAAAAAAAAAAAAACGCTACAGGAAAAAATAAACTGGCGTAATAGTCGACTTGATATTTAAATCAACCTTAAGAATTTTAGCTAAAAAAAATTCTGAGTTAAGCCTATGCTCATCTTCTCTTCTGCTTCTTCTTTGCATTCACCAGCTTTAAACTCGTGGAAAGTTCTTGTGGCTCATCCATTTCTGGACACATACTGTTTTATCCCCAGAACTTGAGTGTTGTGCGCACATCCATTTTACAAATCTGGCTTATTTGTATGCATAATGTTGGTTTCTTGTCTCTCAGGCAGATGCACTTAGACTTCAAAGAAACTCCATAATTAGTCTACTCCTACATGATGTTTGTTAGAGAGGCAGTCGTTCTATTCTTGTTTTCCCTACAACAATTGTGAGGTCACTGTTAGGTCATGAAGTCACTGTGGTGCAGCAGCTAGATTATCGCATGCGCATAGGAAGGTCGTGGGTTCGGGTCCTAGTGGAACCAGGCTTTTTTTTCAAAAATGACCTTGGCTCCTAGGTTGACCCAGCCTTGAGTGGGTACCAGGTGCAGTCCGGAGAAGTAAAGGCAGCCAGCTACCATGTACTGATTGGTCTATAAAATACAGGTCAAGCCCTATATGCCCAATATGCTTAAAGGCATGGAAAAGGGTCCTTTACTTTTATTGTTCTTCCTCATCTTCTTTTATCGTCTCATTGTTATCAGGTTGTAACCCAGTGTCGTGGTTTTCTGTATTTGTCTTGCTGCACTTCTGGAATGGCTTCAGTGATGGATTTGTTCAACTTTTTTGCAGGTTTCATCTACATCATTTATCCCCATCTTTTCATGGTCTTCCTCTCACCCTCATCCCAGATGTTCTACTGTAAAAAGTCTCATATGCAGTCCGGTCTGGCTGCATTCTCACTAGATAGTCGAAAAATTTCAGTCCTTGTGAATATAATCCAGACACAGTCTTATTCCAATTTTCTCTCTAATGCTAATATTTGTAACCCTGTCTTATACAGTGTTGTTAGTGACCTTGGGGAGACCACATATTTCACACTTAGTTAATTTCTGATCTAGTGCCCTATTCAGCTGGTGAAACATCTGATTGGTTCGAGGTGCAAAAGGGGGTGAGGCAGGGGTGTATTCTCTCACCATACCTTTTCAATATATACTCAGAAAATATCATGAGAAATGTCAAAAATGTCCAGACTTGTGACAGTTATGATCCGCTCAAAACTGGTGGCAACCCTTTTCCGGAACTCCGCTACGCAGATGACACAGTCCTCCTTTCGAACAGCGTAAAGGGAATTAAAAATTTAATATTGTCTGTCCAAAAGCACAGTGAAGATCAAAATCTGTTCTTGAATTTAAAGAAAACGAAAATAATGTCCACAGACAAAACTGGCTGTCACCCAAAAATAACAATAAATAATGAAGAAATTGAAAATGTCACAAACTTTGAATATCTAGGCTCTATAATAAACAGCAATGGAGACTGTTCGACAGAAATTAAAAGGAAGATGGCCTTGGCAATGCAAAGATTTAACAGCCTTAAAAGTCTATGGTTAAGCACCAGCAAGGAGATCAAAATTAGAATTTTGAGAGCATGCATCTTCCCTGTGGCTACATACGGATGTGAGTCGTGGACTATCTCTCAGTCCTTAATAAAGAGAATAGGGGCTTTTGAGCTGAAATGCTATAGAAAGATTCTCAGAATATCTTGGACAAAGAAGAGGAGAAATATTGACATCTCAAAAGATCTGAACATCAAGGAAGACTGGCTAATAAACAGCATCCTGTCTCGGAAGCTGAAATATTTTGGTCATGTCAAGCGCCACAACGGACTGGAAAAAAACTATAGCAGAAGGCATGGTACCAGGAAGGAGGGGCAGGGGCCGACCGACACAAAGATGGGCACAGGATGTAAGTGACCCCTTGAGTATGAAAGTATATGAGGCAGGAGAAGTCTCTTTCAGGCAGACTGTGATGAGAGCGACATTCTCTGCAAAGGACCTGCTTCATGATGATGATGAGTACCCTATTCATTGTCCATGTTTGGCACTGATAATGTAAAGTAGGGATAGAGAAGCTATTAATAATTTGCTGTTTTGCTGGAAGGAAAACATTTGGGTCTCTAAACAGTGGGGCTAACTGGTAGGTGGCAGCATTTGTCTTCTGTGCTCTGGCTTCTATCTCCCTTTCGAGTCTGCTATCCTCCGTAAATGTGCTTCCTAGATATTTGAATATTCGTACTTTGATTGTAGTACCGTTAACATTTTGAAAACAGTTATCGTCAATGGCCAGAGCCCCAGCATAGAAAGATCATTATTACAGTAAAACTGGCAATTATCCGTGAGCCCTAGTCAAGACAATGTGTACCAGCAGCTCCCTTCACAAACTATGATTACCAAGAAACACAGCAAACAATAAAACCAAATCAACAGCAAATGACTGAAGAAAAAAGTAAACATAACAATAAAACTCACTTGTCATCTTTAATATGGTTGTAGAGCCGGCGGAACTGCCTGATCTGAAACACCAGCATGGCTGAGCAAATGATCGCCGTCAGAAGAAATGGGTATATCCTCCTTACCACCAGGGTTTCAGTTTCCAGGGTGACTCCTACAACAACAAAGATAGAACAATTGCAGGGTGACTCCTACAACAACAAAGACAGAACAATTGCAGGGTGATTCCTACAACAAAGATAGAACAATTGCAGGGTGACTCCTACAACAACAAAGATAGAACAATTGCAGGGTGAATCCTGCAACAACAAAGATAGAACAATTGCAGGGTGACTCCTACAACAACACAAATAGAACAATTGCAGGGTGACTCCTACAACAACAAAGATAGAACAATTGCAGGGTTACTACTACAACAACAAAGGTAGAACAATTGCAGGGTGACTACTACAACAACAAAGATAGAACAATTGCAGGGTGACTCCTACAACAACAAAGATAACACATTTGCACAAGTAGACCAGGATAGAGAAATGAAATGGAACAATTGGATGCGGGCATCAACAGACCAAGATACAGAAATGGAACAATGAAGGGTTACATCAGCATACAGAAATGGAACAATAAAGGGTTACATCAGCATACATAAATGAAACAATGAATTGTTACATCAGCATTTAGAAATGGAACAATGAATTGTTACATCAGCATTTAGAAATAGAACAATGAATTGTTACATCAGCATTTAGAAATGGAACAATGAATTGTTACATCAGCATATATAAAAGGGACAATGAATTGTTACATCAGCATTTAGAAATAGAACAAAGAATTGTTACATCAGCATATAGAAATGGGACAATGAATTGTTACATCAGCATTCAGAAATGGAACAATGAATTGTTACATCAGCATATAGAAATGGAACAATGAAGGGTTACGTCAGCATAAAGAAATGGAACAATGAAGGGTGATGTCAGCAGACCTGGATATGGAAATGGAACAAAGAATGGTAACATTAGTAGATTAACATAAAAAAAGGGAACAATGAAAGGTTTCATTAGCAGATCAGGTTACAGAAATGAAAGGGAACAATGGATAATTACATCAGCAGATCAGGTTACAGAAATGAAAGGGAACAATGGATGGTTACATCAGCAGATCAGGTTACAGAAATGAAAGGGAACAATGGATGGTTACATCAGCAGATCAGGTTACAGAAATGAAAGGGAACAATGGATGGTTACATCAGCAGATCAGGTTACAGAAACAATGGATGGTTACATCAGCAGATCAGGTTACAGAAATGAAAGGGAATAATGGATGGTTACATCAGCAGATCAGGTTACAGAAATGAAAGGGAACAATGGATGGTTACATCAGCAGATCAGGTTACAGAAACAATGGATGGTTACATCAGCAGATCAGGTTACAGAAATGAAAGGGAATAATGGATGGTTACATCAGCAGATCAGGTTACAGAAATGAAAGGGAATAATGGATGGTTACATCAGCAGATCAGGTTACAGAAACAATGGATGGTTACATCAGCAGATAAGGTTACAGAAATGAAAGGGAATAATGGATGGTTACATCAGCAGATCAGGTTACAGAAATGAAAGGGAATAATGGATGGTTACATCAGCAGATCAGGTTACAGAATTGAAAGGGAATAATGGATGGTTACATCAGCAGATCAGGTTACAGAAACAATGGATGGTTACATCAGCAGATCAGGTTTTTGAATTGAATTCTGGAGGGTTCTACAGCATTAATTCATTTTATTGCAACTCTTATTTCTGTTTTAGAATGGTATTTGCTAAACACCTTCATACTAAAGCTGCTTATATTGAAGCAGGTCAGATATGATTTCTTTAACTAATAACAGCATTTAGGAGGAGGGTGGTGTGTCTTTTTGAGCTAAATGGCTTTATTAAAGCAAAGTCGACACCAGAGGTTCCATGAGCCTCATTAATTTTTCACCGTGTTCAGGTTTATTGATTTTCTCTTTTCATATATCCCTACGTCTTTTTCTTCTTCAGCATTCAGAGCCCTTGAGGCTCACTGCTGCAGATATCACCCGCCTCCATTTATCTCTCTGGTTGGCCTTCTCTTTCCAGTTAGTGACACCAAGTGTTTGCAGGTCTGTCTGGATATTATCTCTCCATCCTCTTCTGGATCTGCCTCATGGTTTACGACCATTCATCTCGCTCATGTATATATCTCTATATGTTAAAAAAATTATGTAACAATGTAGATAAATACATGATTAATGAATTTATTAGTGACTTTTGTAAAACTGGTCAGTATTCTGCCATTACTTCCAATTACATTTTATGGTTTTAGCTTTAGACTGCTGTGGCTAGGATCTGAAATAGTTTTATAAATGTGCCTTGCTGTGGGGTTTTGAACCTACAACCTCCAGACTGGCAATCAAACAATGAATATATCGAAGTCAATACTAACCAAATGCAGGAACAATACTGTGGGCAAGGACATAAGGTACAGCCAGAGCCAAACCCAGGCAGGTGGACACAGGCATACAGATCTGGGTCATGATGAATTTCATGTTGAGGTTACGCATGCCATCATTGTACACCTGTAACATAAACATATTACATAAATCTTCTGCTGGTTTCTTGTCTTAGTTTTAAAATGTACAGTGGCCCTCTGGGCAAACGCTAGATGTTCAGTCTCTCTGAATCCCCGTGTGGGTTCCGGGGCCCTATTATGGGGACAACCAGAATAGAACCACTGGCTACCCAAAAGCATGTCGTAAGAGTCGACTAATTGGGAGCTTCCTTCAAAGTCAGAGTGCATCTGCCTGAGAGGCAAGGAACCAGCAGTCTGCATACAAATGAGTCAGATCTGTAAAACAGATGCACACGCAACACTCAGGTTCTAGAACAGGACTGCAGTCCGAAAATGGATGAACACCCAGAACTTTCCACTAGAGTTTACAGCTGGTGAACACGAAGAAGAAAAAGAGTCTCTCTGAACAAATGTTTAAATGTAGATACTGACTGTTTGAGTAACATTCTGGTTGTATGTTGAGGTGTCAAAACACAAGCCTTTCCTAGGTGTAACTGCACTGAAATCCAAACACAGGCATCTTTGTTTAGGAGATTTAGGAGTTATAGATTTAACTAGCAGTTATTCACAGACAATATTAAGATCATCTCCTTAATCCTTTACGAGTGACAATAACAATGCTGGAAGATACAACACAAATGTTGGGAGATCGATCACAATGTATGGAGAAAAATCAAATGGGAGTTCTGGGAGATGACGTTTATGTTGTGGGAGATGAAACATGTGATAGGAGGTAAATATATGATTCAGGAGGTAAACACATTCGGAAGAAAAATACATGCTGTGGGAGATGAAACATGTGGTGGAAGGTAATTATATAATTCAGGAGGTAAACACATTCGGAAGAAAAATACATGCTGTGGGAGATGAAACATGTGATGGGAGGTAAATATATGATTCAGGAGGTAAACACATTCGGAAGGTAAATACATGCTGTGGGAGATGAAACATGTGGTGGGAGGTCAAGATATGACTCAGGAGGTAAACACACTCGGAAGATAAATACATGCTGTTGGAGATGAAACATGTAGTGGGAGGTCAAGATATGATTCAGGAATTAAACACACTCAGAAGATAATTACATGCTGTTGGAGATGAAATATGTGGTTGGTGATAAAACACATCATACAGGAGATAAACACATGATGTGGGAGACATGATTCAAGAAATTAAACAAGCTCAAGAACATGAAACACATGCTGTGGAAGATGAAACATCAAGTGGAAGATAAATGCATGATTCCTGAGATAAAAACATGGTTTAGGGAGATGAAACACAATGCAAAAGAAATGTTACCCCCCCCCCCCCCCCCCCCCAAGTATGTTTAGGAAATCAAACACAATATGTTATGCAAGTTCAAAGAGATGTAAAGATGAAACATCACATGTTAATTCCAGAAACTCAAACATAATTTCCAAGAGAACACTGCATGTTCTAGGAGATGAAATGCACGTTAAGAAACATTAAATTGAGTTCTAGAAAATCACACATTAATTCTGGGAGATTAAACAATGTGAGAAAAATCAAATTATAAAATCAGACACAAACTCTTGAGAGGAAACAATGTAAGAATAATCAAATTATGTTCTAGAAAATCACACGTAAGAGCTGGGAGACCAATATTCTTTTTTGTTTGTTTTTGCGTTCACCTGCTGTAAACTCTGACAGAAAGTTCTGGTTGTTTTTTTTTAAGATGTGCGTTTTGCATGCACATTCATTCGAGGCCCTGGAACACACAGGGGAGGGAGATAAATTAAACACAATGTACATAAAAATAAAATAAGCTCTAGAAATCAGACAGGCTGGAAGATGAAATATTTGGTCCTCACTCACCCGTTCAATGGCTCTCTTGAGCCACCACTGAGGACCCATCATGATGACCGCGGTCAGAATCTTCATATGGAGGACGCCCAAGGCCCAGTCCTGTAACATATGCAGAATAAATTATAAATCAAAAATTATATCATGCTTTTAAGTAAATGCTTATTATCATTTGTTTCTTTACGTTACGCTTTGCAACATCTTTTCCAGCTCCACTTTCTGTTTTTTCCACACTTTGCTACAGTTATTTATGTGTCTTCTCTGTGTGTGGACTGGTGTCTATCTAGGATTACTTTTCCTGCTATGGTGTCCGTCGATAAAGGCTCAAGCTGAAACATTTGGCTGTTTCTGTAACTGTCCCTATTCCTCCATTGGCTGAGCTCTCTAGTCATTGTTCAGTGAGTTCATTATGTACATATGTAATACATTTCCTTTCTCATTCTGATGACATAAACAGAAAAACAGTTGAGAGAGAGAGAGAGATGACATAAACAGAAAAACAGTTAAGAGAGAGAGAGAGAGAGAGAGAGAGAGAGATGACATATACAGAAAAACAGTTGACAGAGACACAGAGAGAGACAGCTAGAGAGAGAGAAATGACATAAACAGAAAAACAGTTAAGAGAGAGAGAGAGAGAGAGAGAGAGAGAGAGAGAGAGAGAGAGAGAGAGAGAGAGAGAGAGAGAGAGACAGAGAGAGAATGACATAAGGACAAAATGGCAGATGGCCAGAGAGAACACATAAATAGTGAACTAATGTTATTTTTGAAAGATCACAAACTGGGCACAGGCCGAACATTTGCCCCTTCCAACAATTCACCATTCACACTGTAATTTTATTTTATGTTTAATGCATGTTAAGTTGATTTAGCAATAAACTGAAATACAAGAAGACAAGTGAGAAAACATTAGGAATCAACAGAAACAGTACACAAGTAGAAAGTGAAGCAAAGTGACAAAAACAGAAAGGAAATAGGGAGAAAGAATAGAATCAAGGAAAAAAAAAGAGAGAGGAATTGTTAAAGTTTAGAAACAGAGGCAAAGAGAATAGAGACAGGAATTATTAAGATTGCCAGGTGAGACAGAGACAAAGATCAGGTGAGATAACAGAGAGAGAGAGGTGAGATTTAAACAGAAAAGTAAGATTACAGAGACAAGAGAAAGGTAAAATAATGGAGATGGATAAAGGCAAGAGAATTGAGGTTTAAAAAATAATAACAGACAGAAAAAAAAAAGATCATGGAGACGGATAAAGGTGAGACAACAGGAAAAAGCGAGAGAGGAGGGCAGAGAAAGATGATAACACAGAGAAATAACAAAAAAAAATATGTATAACAAAGGCTGAGAAAGATAATATATCAGAGACAGTGAAGAGGGCAGCAGATGTAAAAGATAAAGATTATTATTTTCTTCTTTTTCAGGCACTGAGGTTGTCAGGCTTTGAGGTTTAATGTTTCCATCTTCATTCATGTCTACGACTGGCCTTCTCTTTTGATTTGGTGACACTAAAGTCTGTATATTATCTCTTCACCATCTTATGGTCTGTCTCCTGGTCTACGACCATTCAACTACTCCCTTGTGTACACAGTGCTTGCCACTTCACTGTCATCTGCCATTCTCTCTATCAACCAATCAGGTGCCTTCTCCACGGTGAAGGCTGGTTGCAATGGATCTCAACATGCTCTGTCTCTTGTCCTGGTTGTACACTCTCTCAGACTGCTGCCTGTCTATCTTTTGATGTTGTCCTCCTACTTGTATAACTGCCTACCTCTTGCTCTCTTGCCCTGGACCTTTCTGTCCCATATGGTTTTTATAAGTGTGTTATGTCTTTAATGTGGTCAAAGTATTTCCATTGTCTCTTTTTAAAATTTCTTTCTGTAATTCTCTTTTCATTTGTAGCCTTTCCAGAACCTCTGTAATGGACTGTTTTTGTTCCATAAAATATGACCTATTTTCTGTACACCCACATCTCCAGATACTCAATTCAGTTTTCTAGTTGCTGGTTTATTGCCCAAGTTTCTGCACCACAAAGCAGGACTGAGTATACATAACATTTGACGATTCTCATTTTTAGTGTGTTGTTTATCTCTCTAGCTGTGGTGCGGTGATTTATGTCACAGGCGTGAAGGAAAGTTAAGTCCAACATGATGTGTATAAGGAGATACTCCGTACGTCACTCGGGCGCCAGTCCTTCACTGTTCTGGTTGTACGGAACCTCACGCAAGACCCCTGCAGCATGTCCTCGCCGTGCGCCACGGATAATGTCTTAAATGAGCATTAACAGAGCTGCCAGGGGATCTCGGAGTTTGGCGGCCCCCAGAGGTGATGTGTCCTTGTGGCTCTCATCAGCCCGCCCCCAAACGCATGGGTGAAAAAGGTTATCAAAACTCATTAGGAACATGAGTAAAGTGCTTGCCGAATGTACAACTAAAATTACAACCCAGGGTTAAAAGAATGGAGAGTGAAGAGAACATTGTTCTGCTGAGACTCAACCCTTGACCTAGAGATTTACCCGCAGCACAGACGAGTAACATCTCCTGTGGGTGGCGTCTCGCAGCAAGATTCTACCCATGTACATCCTTTGTTAACCCTCAATGTCGTCATCACCGCGCTGAGGTACACCAAGACAGCAACCATCCATCGGCTGGCTAAGCCTAAATGTCCAACAAAACTAGAACCTACGTCACACGAGTAAGCTCAAAATCTGACCATCACAAATCGTATTGAACGGAAAGAGTCCAAATGTCCACACCAAAAGATCCCACTCGCCCGAGTGCTGGGACCAAACAGATAACGATATGACTAAAGCAGGATGTTGAATTTTGTCGGGCTAACGGCTTGTCAAAGATACCTAACGTGCGAAGAAAAAGAATGTACCTATTTGGGTGGTCACAAACGTCCAGAATTCGCAGGCTGCTCCCCGCTGACTTCTAGAGAGCGCAGCCCTTGTCAATACAGTGAACATAAGGCTTCAATAGAGTGAATATAGGGCTTCAACAGAGTGTGTACATGGTTTTGATGGTGTTTGTAAAATGTCTTGTGCTTCAATATTTAGGAAGGCTAAGCAGGAAAACAAATGCCTGAAGAAGTCAGATGTGTCAGCTGAAAGGGACAAATATAGCACCTATGCTGCAAACAGACATAACACAATTACATCACTCATACCAGAGATGAAGAAGTTCTTCAGTACAATGTGTATAGTGTTTAAAAAGAGTCTACATTCTGCTTCTATAGCATGCGTATAGTGCTAACACTTAGGTGTATGTGTGTCCAAACATGCATAGCATAGTTTTTCCTCTACCTGCCATGGGAAAAAGATGGGAGACTGGTCCAGTGGAACCCGCATGGGGGCCACAATAATAACATCAAACAGCAGCCCCAGTAACAAGGGAATCACCATCAACAGAACAATAGCCATCACCAGGGACTTGACTATCTGAAACACAAATTGGCAATACACAAGTCAAATACAAACCCACGCTATTTATATGAAATACATGACCATTTATAGCATTCAAAGTCTATGGTTAAGCACCAGCAATGAAATCAAAATTAAACTTTTATCAGCATGCATTTTCCCTTAGCAACATACGGATGTTAGCCATGGACCATCTCCCAGAAAATAGGGGCTTTTGTTCTGAAGTGCTATAGAAATATTCTCAGAATAGCATGGACAAAGAAGAGAAGAAATAATGACAGTTTAAAAGATCTGAATATCAAGGAATATTGGCTAATAAACAGCATCTTGGCTTGGAAGTAAGTAAGTAGAAAAAGTAAAGTAAAGGACCCTTTTCCATGCCTTTAGGCATATAGGGCTAGACCTAAATTTCTATAGACCAATCGGCACAAGATGGGTGATGTGGTCAGCATCACGCCGGCCGCCTCTACTTCCTGGGACTGCCCCGATACCCACTCAAGGCTGGGTTGACCTGGGAGCCAAGGTCATTTTTTTTAAAAAGTCTGGCTCCCCCAGGTAGCGAACGCATGAGCTTCTGATCCGCCGTGTGCATCTAGTCTTGTCTTGGAAGCTGAAATATTTTGGTCACATCAAGGGATTTGACGGACTGCAAAAAAAAAAAAATAATAATAATAATAGCTGAAGGCATGGTACCAGGAAGAAGGGGCAGAGGCCAATTAACATGAAGATGGGCATAGGATATAATATTCTCCGTGAATATGAAAGTACACAAGGTGGGAGAGCTGGTGAGAGACCAAGTTTCTTTCAGGCAGACTGTGATGAGAGTGACGTTCTGCAAAGGACCTGCATGCAGGGGAATTCTGCTCAAATTAAGAAGCCAAAATTATTGCTCTGGAAACAGCGGCACACCACCTGAAGAGTATGATAGATGTTTATCCTTCAAAGGCCAAAAATATTTTCATCTTCACCAATTCAATGTCTGCTCTACAAGCTCTGGAGGGCAGTGAATGATGTAAAACTGACATAGCCAACATAATTATGGATGCTGATCAGCTCATTACCTCATACAACATAAGAATAGTGATGCAGTGGATCCCAGGCCACTCTGGCACACCAGGTAATGATAGAGCTGACAGACTGGCAAAGAAAGGAGCAACAAAAAAACAACCACCAACAGTGAAAACCTTACAGACAGCAAAAGCACTTACAAGAGCTACAAACAAAGAGATATTTGGTCATGGGAGATACTGGAAAAGAGATTTACAGACATGTGGCTGGCCTTGATCCTAACGACTGCATCAACCATCTAACAAGAAAAGACCAGGACACCATCTTCAGACTTAGAAAACAACATACTCCACTCAATGGACATCTAAACAGAATACAGGTACAACACTCCCTAGAGTGTAAGCACCCCTACGAAACTGTTGACCACCATCTCTTTGACAATACTAGAAGAATGCTGCTCTCTCAGAGCAACATGTCCACGGTTAAAATGGACGCTAGACAGCGGCGCTGTTCGAAGCAGAGGCAAATATTTTTGCTTCTGCCGGACGGTGGCCGAAGTATTTTTGCTCCATTTGTAGACTGGATATAGTTTCGTCGCCCAGCTTCTGAGTTGAATGCATGGCGTGACACTGTGAGCTGCGGATTGCATTTGGAATGTATTTTCGACTGTGACCAACGTGGTGGTGTGAATTGTAGATTCAGAAAATGGCGTGATGCCTATCGTGCAATGTTGGCGGTGCCCGTATGTGGTTAAAATTGATCGCGTGGGCAACTGCTGATCTGTTGGCGTCAAGTTCTGCTATCATAATGATGAACTGCATTTCTTATGTTGGACTGTTTGTGTTAGCACTTCGGATGGCTACCGTATGCTTTAATGCGAGTGTATGCTAGATATGCTGAGACAGCAGTCTGTCAATCTTTCCACAAGGGACTGTGATAAACATTCTGGGTGTTTTTCGTTGGCACAGGAGCGGAGCAAAGATGGGGCGACCCGTTTGCTATGAAGCTGAAACTAAGACTACCAGACTACCAGACCAGTCTCTCAGAGACCAGACAGGTGGAGCATCTTGTATGGAAGAAAAGAATAGCTTGTGGAAACATGTAAATTCCACTACATGGCATTGGGCAAAAGGGCGAAAGCTCTTGCGCCACCAGATCGATAACAACAACAACAGTAAAGAACCTGCTACATGATGATGATGACCATTTCAACACAAACATTTGCCTTGCTGATAAGTGTAGGCAGTCATTTTTTTCACCATCTCGCAAGATCACATGAATCGTGGCTCAGCTTGTCTCACTCCATTCATGTGACCAAGCCATTCAGGTATTTATTTCTCTGACTCCCACTTCCTCTCTTTTCACCAATATTGATAGAGAGCAATGTTAAATAGATAAAGCGGTAACAGAACCAGAGGTGGACCACGCAGAATATGGACTGAGACACTGAAAAGTACTTTACACAAAGCAAACAAAAGTGCCTGTTCCAAAGATCTCTTCCTGCCCTGATGTCGTGAGGCATTCCAGGAGTAGAGAAAAGAAGAAGAAGAAGACAGCTATTATCAAATCCATTCCTTCTCACAACATGTCAAGAAACAACACTGACTCTCTAAGTCTAACTGTTCTAATAAGCAAATGACTTCCATCTGTCTCAACTAGGACTGCTTTGTTTTTAAAAGACTGTATGATATTCTCTGCATTTCTCTCAAAAACAACATCTCTTCTTTTTTTCTACTTCTTCTTGCCCTCAAAACTGTCACTGCTTTGAAGCGGCAGTAAAAAACTATCATTTCACTAAACAGCCAAAGTCAAAACTCATTCCACTTTACGTTAAGGTCAAAACTGTCATTTTCTTTTACGTTAAGGTCAAAACTGTCATTTTCTTTAGACTAGAGACCAAAACTGTCAATCTGCATCATTGTGGAAGGTTATAATATATTTATCCTGCCCACAATGGTAACCAAAACTGTAATTCCACCTAGAGTCTTAACTAACCATTCTGCTTAAAAACACTTCTTTATGTCTTCTTCTTCACATTCACCAGTTGTAAACTCTAACCGAAAATTTTTGTTGCTTGTCCATCTGGACTTTAGAATTATTCAAGTGCTCGAGATTTGCATACACATCCATTTTACAGATTCTGGCTTATCTGTGGGCAGATTGTTGGTTTGCCTCTCAGGAGGATGCACTTAGAAGGAAACTTCTAATTAGTTCTCTTACAACATGCTTGTTAGGGAGGCAGTGGGAGTATTCTTCTTTCTTCCCACAATGAGACCCCTAGAATCCACATCAGGAATCTCTTTATCTATGAGACCCCTAGAATCCACATCAGGAATCTCTTTATCTAAAGAAAATGACATCAGAGACTCAGAGCATGGGAAGGTACTTACCAACAGTCCCCAGAGCCGCAGCTTTGCTTTGATGATTGCCCAGCCTTGCAGGTACCAGCCAGCGATGACAGTGGACACTCGCAGACACAGCCAGCAGATGTACAGGCCACAGCCAGCGGTGTAGAGCTCATGGATCTTGGTGTCTCCAACCCACAGCCACATCAGCTGTCTTCCAATGAAGACTGCAAATTATGCACAACATATTTATACATTTAACTTTCTTGATTTTACTGTAGACATTTCTGTAAATAGTATATATATTTACGCAATAATGCAAATTCTTGAAGTAGTATATACATATGAATTTGGTCGACATTATTAAGGTAGTTTATACACATAAATCAATTTGATATTTTTGAGGTAGTATTTACATATGAATTTGCCCGAAATTACTGAGGCAATTTATACATATAAATCAAGTTGATATTACTGAGGTAGTTATACGCTTTAGCTGTAGCGATGTCTCCCAGGGATCTCCAAAATAAATGCACTCATAAGTTGAAGAAGTGAGTCCAAAATCAAAACCATAATTTTCAGAGCATAATGCAAATGACAAATCACTTCACAACAGCTGTAAATTTATGAAAGCTAAAACAGATATAGACTAAAAGTCCTACCTGGCAATACTAATGAAACTGTGCTGGCCAAAAAGAAAGTCAGGCACATCATAATCAGGAGAGCAAAAATCTGAAAAAAGTGGACACTGAAAATAATTAACTGGAAACATTAAAACTGAAATTAAAAAGAACGTTTAGAAAACATAAAAGTTAAAAAAAAAAAAAACATGTATAGGAAACTTCTTCTTCTTCAGCATTCCGAGCCTTTGAGGTTCATTGCTGCAGATATCATCCGCCTCCATTCCTCTCTCTGGTTGGCCTTCTCTTTCCAGTTGGTGACCTCAAGTGTTTGCAGGTCTGTCTAAAAATTATCTTTCCATCGTCTTCTTGGTCTGCCTCGTGGTCTATGACCATCCATCTCCATTGTGTATATTTTTTACTTGTCTGTCATCTGACATTCTTTCAATATGCCCCAGAAATTTCAGTCTATTAGCTCTCATGATGCCAGTGATCAATGGTGATTTAAACAGATTACGAATTTCATTGTTGCTTCTCACCCTCCATTCCCCGCTTATTGAATCTTTATGGGTCCAAAGATTCATCGTAAGACTGTTTTCGAAAACCTGTAATAAGGCTTCATCTCTTTTAGTTGTGCTCCAAGTTCTACGATATCAGTTTTAGCTCAACAATCCCAAGCAGATGGTGCATCTGACCCCTTCTATCCCAAAGAGTTAGGCTTAAAAATAAAAAGCACTATATTGTTTGAGGTCCATTTATATCCAATAGGATATAAGTAGCCGGACTAATAATTAACTCTTTCAGTAATTGAGTACAGTTAAATTAGTTTTAAATCAACTCCTGATGCATTCCTTGGTACCCAAAGAGCTACTACATTCCAAGTCTCAACTAAACAATGCCATACATACCCTTGCTGCAAAAAATGATGGTCGTTTGTATGGCTGAAATCCTGTGGGACCACCACCCTGCAGCATGGCTTGGTGGGCCGCCCCAAGTCCTTCCCCAAGGTCCTGAGCAGGTGGTGGAGCTGGCTGTCCAGCGTTGTTCTGCCTGGCATCTGGAAGGTTTTGGGGTTCATTGCCCTGCACAATGTTTGCAATATCCTGTTTGTCGATACAAAAAAGTAAAAGTAAAGCAAAAGTAAAATACTATTTTCAACGCCCTAAGGCATAAAGGCCATATAGAGCTAGACCTATATTTTTATAGACCAACCGGCACATGATGGGTGATATGGTCAGCATCATGCCGGCCTCCTTTTACTTCCCATGGTTGCACCTGGTACCCACTCAAGGTTGGGTCTACCTCGGAGCCAAGGCCATTTTTGAAAAAAAAGTCTGGCTTTGCTAAGGAGCGAACACATGACCCTTTGATCTGCAGGCGAGTGTCTAGCCGCTATGCCACGGCGACTCCCAATACAAAAAGTATGTAATATTACAGATTATGTTGGTGGATACACATATTATATCAATCAGCAGATTTTTACAGAATTTCACTATCTGTACAGCATGTCTGAAACCCTCTTTTTCTCTAATCAGTTCTCCAACCCACCATGTTTCTATCCATGTTTCAACCCACAGCCAAAATACCTCAGCTTTCAGGAGAGGATGCTGTTTATGAGCCAATTCTCGATGTTTAGATCATGTATGTCAGTGTTTTTATTTTATTGGTTCTCGGTATTTGAAGAATTCTTCTGTAGCCTTTCAGTTCCCCCGAAGGTGTCTCCACCTTGTCATGGTGGGGGGAGCTTGTGTTTCTCAATGACCCTGAGAGCTATGCCAGCAGTAGCGAAGCTACCAGCAGGGTCAACCAAGCTAGAAAGGTCAAAGGGTAAAAAACAGAAAAGAGAGACACCCTGGTCTTCCATGTTGGCACTCCCACCATCGTAAAAATTAATTTCATCATGAAACAGATACCTAAGCCTTGATTTCAGATAGATTTAAACGGACAATGAAACTGAAACGTTAAAGGATTTTTGAGATTTGGAACATTGAATGTATGAACCCTTTATAGAGCTGAAGGAGCTAAAGAACTGACCGGTGAGTTATCAGAATAAAGAATGGATATAAGAGCGATATAAGATGGCCAGGACAGGGTACCATAGAGGAAAATGGAATGATCTTATTGTATGGAGATAACACTCAAAATAAACATGAACTAGGGACAGGATTTGTCATGAAAAAGTTGTGGGAAAGTATTATAAATTTTGTAACTATTAATGACAGGATCAGTAAGTAACGAATAAAAAGAAAATGGGAAAATATTTTGATGATTAATTTGCATGCACCCACCAAAGACAAAAAAGAAGATATCAACTCTTTGAGTCCCAGGGAACGCATCACACACTAATCTGTTGAACCGGGCGGGCCCAATCGACGCATGACAAGTGAAGGTTTTTAATCTACCACTGACAAGTTATAAAACGCTGACCTCTCAATTTCAACTTTCCTTCTAGTTATTGTGTCTGATATCAGGAGTGCTCATTTAGAAACATGGTTTGAAAGATGAAAATATAGTATATTTGCAAGGTTTGCTGAGTTAAAAAGTGTTTGTTTGAAAATAATATGGCCGCCAAGCAATGTTCTACATGCATGCCAACATGATTTACGGCTTTAGAAGCCTACAATTTAAATAATGGAGGTGCTCATTCGATTTATCCAAAGTTAGATAGATACTGTTGCAAATTAGACGTGTTTCAGTCATTTATAGAGTCAAACTTTAATAAGGGATATGTCTAATGTGTACTTCACGCGAAGGGTACAACGATAGCAAAGTCAGCTGGCACAAAGAGAATAAACATTAGTGAAAAAACTATTTCAGTGTCAGTTCTAGTGCTATTCCCCTTATTTTTTAGGAACAAAGATACACAATTACAGGCAAATTCAGTGTTATGTAAACTTTGTTTTGTGTGAAGATACTTATTGTTTTGGGAGTCAGTTTTCTTTACCAAATAATGGTGCTCTGTTATAATGCTTCAAAAGATTCTTTGGAACAAAATCTAATGTGTAGATCGAGTTTATATTTTACTTATACATTACTAAGTGGTTCATATTCATTTGTGATTCATTTTGGATATATTTAAACCAGTTTTCCTTGAGTGCCATGGTGGTAAGTGGACATTTTTTAATTCCATTTTACAAATTTTTGTAAACATACCGTCTGTTTACTTACTATATTTAATTACTAACGCAATTATTTGTTGTAGCTATATTCTATAATTATTCCTCAACAATCCCTGGTCACTTTGATGTATAATACATGTATATTGCGCGGCAACTGAATTAGTATGGTCTGTTTTAATGTGTTACACTTGTGAAATTAAAAAAATTGCTTTACTACCCTTTGGGCCTCTGATGCTAAACCCCCTGGGACTCAAAGAGTTAAAAAAGATTTCTATGATTTCCTTGAGAAATAATATTCAAGAAACTCAAAAAACTGGACATACTGATTGTCTCCGGAGATTTCAAAGCAAAAACAGGAAATGAAAACACCTATAAAAATGTAGCAGGCATGGAAAGCCTACACACAGATTCAAGCCACAATGGATGGAGATTAATCAACCTCACAGTAACCAAAATACTACAAATAAGCATCACTAGATTTCAATGAAAAGATATTCATAAACAAACATGGCAATCATGTGACAAGATAAAACATAGTAAAAAAAAAAGTAAAGGACCCTTTTCCACGCCTTTAGGCATATAGGGCTAGACCTATATTTTCATAGACCAAACGGCACAAGATGGGTGATGTCGTCAGCATCATGCCGGCCACCTTTACTTCCCGGGACTGCACCTAATGCCCACTCAGGGTCGGGTCGAACTGGGAGTCAAGGTCATTTTTGAAAAAAATCCGGCTCCGCCAGGGAGCGAGCTCACGACCTTCCGATCCATATGCGAGCATCTAGCCGCCACGCCATGGCGAAGCTGTGTTATCCCCAAGATAACAGTTAATCAAACAGATCACATTTTAATAAGTAAAAGAAATACAAAAGACAAAACATGTTAGAAGCTACAGAGGAGCTGTGCCATAGCGACCATAGTGAAAATTATTAAGTAATTGTTCTACAAGCACTAAAAATACTATTGGTGGTGCAATTAAACAGGCTAAAACCATACGCCAAAGATATACTGAGTGATTATCAAGCAGGTTTCCTAAAGAAGAAATGAACAATAGATCAGATATTAATTTTACTTCGAATAGCAGAATAAAACAGGATTTTTCCTGAGACCTCTTGCTGATAAGATAAAAAGGACCCTTTCCGACACTTTCAGGCATATAGTTCTAGACCTATATTTTATAGAACATACAGGACTCAGCGAGTGATGTGTTCAAGAACATGTCAGCCACCTGTAGTTTCCAGACTTTACCTGGTATCCACTCAAGGCTAGCAGCCAAGGTCATGTGTTTAAAAATAAAGTCTGGCTGCTTCAAAGTTAAGCCAACCTTTAGACGTATAAGTGAGGATCTAGAAACTACAGCTCCAAGCTGACAACATCATCATCATGTAGCTGGTCCTTTGCAGAACGTCGCTCTCATCACGGTCTGCCTGAAAGAAACGCGGTCTCTTGCCAGCTCTCCCACCTCATATACTTTCATACTCAAGGAGTCACTTATATCATGTGCCCATCTTTGTGTTGGTCGGCCCTTGCCCCTCCTACCTGGTACCATGCCTTCTGCTATTATATTTTATAATCCGTTGTGGCGCTTTATTTGACCAAAATATTTCAGCTTCCAAGACAGGATGTTGTTCATTAGCCAATCTTCCTTGATGTTCAGATCTTTCAAGATGTCAGTATTTCTCCTCTTTTTTTTGTAGCTGATAAGACAGAGAATCTTAACATGTAACAAAAATAACACATTTTATAATATACATATACCTCCCCATCCAAGGGCACATCACCAATAAGATAGGATCGGAGATCTAACAACCATGCCATGGCTTTTGACCATCCTTCAACCAGCTTCTTCAACATGGCCCGAGTGTGGCCAGCTTCGAGAAGTGATGGCAAAACAACCTGAAGCAGCAACAGCTCCAGAGATAGCTCGCTCACAGGAGCTTCACTGAAATACAAATAAAATATATTCTTTTAGGACAACTTCTTACAATCTCTGTAACAAAAGTCTCAAAAACTCCACACACAAAATCTCACAACTTTTTACAATGAAAATTAACAATTTTCTACAACAAAAGTACCACAACCTCCTTTAATAATACAACAGTACCAATATAACCTTCAACAATTCTTTTCTTCTTCAAAATCTCATATAGCAGACTTTTTAGAATCTACAATTCTGAGGCCCTAGTGTGTGTGTGTGTGTGTGTGTGTGTGTGTGTGTGTGTGCGTGCGTGCGTGTGTGCGTGTGTGTGTGTGTTTTGGGGGAGGAGCGGGGAGGATAGACCATCTTCCTTCATAACAAGTATGTCATAAGAGTCTACTAGTTAGGGGTTTCCCTCAAAGTCAGAGTGTATTTGCCTGAGAGGCAAGCAACTGAAAGTCTGCATACAGATAAGCCAGAACTGTAAAACAGATGTGCACACAAAATTCAAGTTCCTGAACAAGGCTTAAATCCAGAAGTGGTTAAATAAAAATAACTTTTCACCAGAGTCTGCAGCCGGTGAGCACAAAGAAGAATATACAATCAATTTCTCACACATCTGAGTCGAAGAACATCTCAAATATTGACTACTACACAAGTCTTACATCTCCTACAAGTCTGACATTCCTCTACCAAAAAGTTCTCAAAATCTGTTACAACAAACAAGTCGCATGTCTAAAAACACATTTTGTATTTAACAAATTACCTGGACACCACGACCCTGTAAGGTAAGAACCCAGGAAAAACCATCCTGATGACTCGAATAGGCAGCCACAACATCAGCAGCACCGCACTCCCAAATATCACCTGTAAACATCACAGCAGATCTGGGGTTTAACAAACACTGCTACATTACTATCACAGCAGATCTGGGGTTTAACAGACACTGCTACACTACTATCATAGCAGATCTGGGGTTTAACAAACACTGCTACATTACTATCACAGCAGATCTGGGGTTTAACAAACACTGCTACATTACTATCATAGCAGATCTGGGGTTTAACAGACACTGCTACACTACTATCATAGCAGATCTGGGGTTTAACAAACACTGCTACATTACTATCACAGCAGATCTGGGGTTTAACAAACACTGCTACACTACTATCACAGCAGATCTGGGGTTTAACAGACACTGCTACACTACTATCATAGCAGATCTGGGGTTTAACAAACACTGCTACACTACTATCATAGCAGATCTGGGGTTTAACAAACACTGCTACATTACTATCATAGCAGATCTGGGGTTTAACAAACACTGCTTCACTACTATCATAGCAGATCTGGGGTTTAACAAACACTGCTACACTACTATCATAGCAGATCTGAGGTTTAACAAACACTGCTACACTACTATCACAGCAGATCTGGGGTTTAACAAACACTGCTACACTACTATCATAGCAGATCTGAGGTTTAACAAACACTGCTTCACTACTATCATAGCAGATCTGGGGTTTAACAAACACTGCTTCACTACTATCATAGCAGATCTGAGGTTTAATGGACACTACTTCACTACTATCATAGCAGATCTGAGGTCAACAAACAGCTGTAACACTGTTAACAGCAGATGTGATTTACTACTACCATGTTTCCCCGAAAATTAGCCTACCACAAAAATAATCCCTAGTTAAAATCATCAGCTAGAATGAGAATTGTTTCTAAATGGCCAGTCGGAGTATAAACTCCACTGGTGGCCACCAGATAAATAATTGGATGAGGTTCATAATTCCAAGTAAATCACTTATTTCAGAAGAAGTAGACAAGGCTGTGTTTGAATAAATGTAGAATGTTTTACATGAATAAATGTAGATTAGCCGAATCTGAAAAAAAAAAAAAAGATATACTCATATTAATATAAGCGTTGGTCTTGTTATCTGAGAAATACGGTAACACAAATATGAAGTGAAGAAATGGAAAAACTATTACTGTAAAAGCTATACTAATATTATAGTAGATCAGAGATACCTCTTATTAGTAAGATCTGGAGCAAGATTTAACTAGATATCTTTCTGACCATTCTATATTCTATATAACATATTAAAAGATATATGAATGAGATCGTGTATTCCCCGTGTGGATTCTGGCGCCCCATTTTGTGGGAAAGAAAAACAGATCTGCTGCCAAAAGTCTACTAATTAAGGGTGTTTCCTTCAAGTCTGAGTGCATCTACCAGGGAGGCAAGGAACCAAAAATCTGCATACAAATAAGCCAGATTTGTAAAGCAGATGTACGTGCAAAACTCAAATTCTGGAACAAGACTGAAAGCTAGAAATGGATGAACAACCATAACCTGCCACTGGGATTTACAGTCAGTGAGCACCAAGAAGTTTATACAGGGATTGTAGAAGTGTAGTTAGAATAAATCAGGGAACATCTCATCCTTTCACAGTGACATCTGGAGTAAGACAGGGGTGTGTCTTATCACCACTGCTGTTTATCACCTACATCGACAGTATATGCAAGAATGCCAAGCCCATGAATGAAGATCTTAGTAAGATCAACGAATTACTCTTTGCAGATGACCAGGCCTTGATAGCAGATACAGCCATGAAATTGCAACAACATCTAACATCCATGAATGAAGAATGTAAAACAAATAATATGAGAATCAACACTGAAAAGACAGAAGTAATGTCAATAGGAAAAAAGAAGACAGATCTAAACATAGCAATAGAATACAAAGGCATTAAACAGGCATCTGAGTTTAAATATCTGGGAACTACATTTACCGAAGATGGGAAATTGGATAAAGAAATTAACATTAGATGCAGTAGAGCTAACCAAGTATTGGGACAGCTAGCCCCCTTCTTACAGCATAAGACAATCCCAATCAGCACAAAGAGACATCTTATTCAAAGCATATTTATTCCAACTCTGTGCTACCAGTGCCAGACATGGTCACTCACAACAAACCATAAAAGAAAATTAGTAACCACGGAAATGAGATGTCTGAGAAGGGCTGTAGGAGTGACCATAAGAGATAAGATCAGGAATGAGATCATAAGAGAACAAGTCGGCACAGAACCAATTCTGGATTACATACAAAGTCAGCAAGTGAAATGGTTTTCCCACTTAGAGAGAATGCCTTGTGACACCATACCATACAAAGCATACATGGAAAGAGAAGAAGGACGAAGAGCATGGGGTAGACCAAGAACAAGATGGAAGGATAACATCAGAGAAACTCTACAACAGCACGATGTGCCTATGGTCGAGGCAGCCAGAAAAGCTAGAAACAGAACCTTATATCTCCCTCGACACCCACAGCGGTAAAAGAGGAAGTGAAGAAGAAGGGAAGAAGAGCACCAAGAAGAAGCCGATCACAAATCTGAGTTCAAGAAACAGACAGACTACTAATACAGCAAATCTGAGGTCAATAACTAGCTATTACTAGGTTACAGCGGATCTAAGATCTATTTCATTAGAAAGATCTTGGGATTGTACAAATTAGATATTCGTTTGACCTTTCTACATTCTATATTAACTACTAAAAATGTTTGAATGAGATCATGTATGGCAGGTGTCAGGCCAGAGAGGCAGGCTGAATGTTAGATGGACCTGTGAAAACCCTTCGAAAATAAATTTTTTATCCATTCTACAAATGATTATTATAGATTAGTGTTGACAGAACATGTTTATATTCTTCTCCTTCACGTTCACCCGCTGTAAACTCCAACAAAAAGTTCTGGCTGTTTGTCCACCTCTTTGTTCCAGAACCTGACTGTTGTGTGCACATCTATTTTACAGATCTGACTCATGTATATGCAGAATGATGGTTTCTTGCCTCCCAGGCAGATGCTCCCAACTGCTAGACTTACAACATGCTTCTGGGTAGGCAGTGGGAAAGAACATATTTCAATATGATTATTAATCTAAATCAGCAGATGAAAAACACAAACCGTATGGGTCGGAGGAAGGGAGCTCAATTATTGGGGGGGGGGGGGGGGGGGGGGGGGGCAGAATAGACCCACTGCTTCCTAACAAGCATAATGTAAAAGGCTACTTATTGGGGGTGTTTCCTTCATAGTGACTGTGCATCTGCAAGAAAGGCTAGGAACCAACAGTCTGCATCCAAAAAAGCCCGATGCGTACATTTGCTAGCAAATCCCAAGTTCAGGAACAAGACCAAAATCCAAAAGTAGACGAATACCCAGAACTTTCTGCTAGAGGTTACAGCCAGTGAACCCTAAAAAGAAGAATAAAAAGGCTTGACAAAGGCATATGCTTACCACGGAAGCTATAAAACGTCGAAAATGTCTCAGCACACACAAATGAATCATCTGCATAAAAGAAATAAAAACAATATATGATGTCACTGAAATCAACATATCATCAACAGACAACATTACTTTTTTTTTCTAAAGGATTAGCAACTAAGGACTATCATCAAAGCACTTTAGGCAGATCCATAACTGCTCCGATTCCATCTGTAATAACTCCACAAGTGTAAAACAAATACTTTAAAAGAATTGTATTACTTTTTCTTCTTAAATGGCATACAGTCCTGGTTGTTCATCCCCTTCTGGACTTTTGTGTCATACCAAGACCTGAGTTTTTCATGCATATCCTTTGGTTTCTCGCCACTCAGGGAGATGTACTCAGACTCAGAAGGCCCCCAGTGGGATCCTCTTTCTTGGATGGCCCCAGAGAGGTGGTCGGGATCCCCTTTCTTGGATGGCCCCAGAGAGGTGGTCGGGATCCTCTTTCTTAGATGACCACAGAGAGGTGGTCGGGATTCTTTCTTAGATGACCACAGAGAGGTGGTCAGGATCCTCTTTCTTGGATGGCCACAGAGAGGTGGTCGGGATCCTCTTTCTTAGATGGCCACAGAGAGGTGGTCAGGATCCTCTTTCTTAGATGGCCACAGAAAGGTGGTCGGGATCCTCTTTCTTAGATGACCACAGAGAGGTGGTCGGGATCCTCTTTCCTAGATGGCCACAGAGAGGTGGTGAGGATCCTCTTTCTTAGATGGCCACAGAAAGGTGGTCGGGATCCTCTTTCTTAGATGACCACAGAGAGGTGGTCGGGATCCTCTTTCTTAGATGACCACAGAAAGGTGGTCGGGATCCTTTCTTTGATGACCACAGAGAGGTGGTAGGGATCCTCTTTCTTAGATGGCCACAGAGAGGTGGTCGGGATCCTTTCTTAGATGACCACAGAAAGGTGGTAGGGATCCTCTTTCTTAGATGGCCACAGAGAGGTGGTAGGGATCCTCTTTCTTAGATGACCACAGAAAGGTGGTCGGGATCCTCTTTCTTAGATGGCCACAGAAAGGTGGTTGGGATCCTCTTTCTTAGATGGCCACAGAAAGGTGGTCGGGATCCTCTTTCTTTGATGACCACAGAAAGGTAGTCAGGATCCTCTTTCTTTGATGACCACAGAAAGGTAGTCAGGATCCTCTTTCTTTGATGACCACAGAGAGGTGGTCGGGATCCTCTTTCTTAGATGGCCACAGAGAGGTGGTCAGGATCCTCTTTCTTTGATGACCACAGAGAGGTGGTTGGGATCCTTTCTTAGATGGCCACAGAAAGGTGGTCAGGATCCTCTTTCTTAGATGGCCACAGAAAGGTGGTCGGGATCCTTTCTTTGATGACCACAGAGAGGTGGTCGGGATCCTCTTTCTTAGATGGCCACAGAGAGGTGGTTGGGATCCTCTTTCTTAGATGGCCACAGAAAGGTGGTAGGGATCCTTTCTTTGATGGCCACAGAAAGGTGGTCAGGATTCTTTCTTAGATGACCACAGAGAGGTGGTCGGGATCTTTCTTAGATGGCCACAGAGAGGTGGTCGGGATCTTTCTTAGATGACCACAGAGAGGTGGTCGGGATCTTTCTTAGATGACCACAGAGAGGTGGTCTAGACCAGTATAATCCCTGACATTGGTGTACCACTACGTGTGATTCAGCACTTCTGCATCCCAACTGCATTACAAAATATGCAAAGTTGTATACTATGATCTGCAGCTTCTGATCACCAGTTCATAACTGACATCATAGCACTTGGCAACATTCCCACAAGCTCCACCCCCATTTTTAGCAACTAAAGGAAGGTTTCCACTTCAATGGTGCACACGCAGTCTGACTATAAAATCAATGTGGATCCTTCTTCTTCGCATTCAACGACTGTAAACTGTGGTGGAGAGTTCTAGTTATTCATCCATTTCTAGACTATTTATTAGAATATTTTTATGATATACTTGTTGACATACTGCACCTCCTCGTGGTTGAGGACAGAAACACACCTCGGTGTGGCTAATGCAGTCTTGAGGACCAAGTATCTGCTGGAATTAGTGGACCACCCTTTGGTGTTATCTGCTGTTAGCAATAACATCGCAGAGAAGGGTACTCACTTACCCAGGCAGTCTAAAAGACTGCCGATGGTTGAGTTGCTCAGCTGTATGGATGTGAAAAGCAAGGGGAGACTACCACATTATATATCACTAGCAACTCAACACGGAAGCTAACCACATCAAGCATCATGGTGGCTTGGAAAAGACGGTGAGGGAGTGTGCAGTTTGTGGAAGGGGAGTCAGGAGTCCACCATCACGAACATGGATACAGGACACAGAAAAAGCTTTGGCGTTAAAAGCACATGGGGATAGAGAGCTGGCCAGAAAAAGGGATACTTTCAGGCGTGCCGTGAAGACAGCAACGTTCTGTAAAGGACTTGCTGATTGATGATGATAATGATGTTAGGTGGTAGCAGATTTATTATTTGTCCTCCCCAAATCAAGCACCAGAAAGAACCCTCTTGAGGATCGTGTAGTCTGATATAAATTCAATGTGGATTCAATTGCCAGACCTTCAAGTCAGCTGGTAAATATCATTATCATCAATAACCAGAAGGTCTTTTACAGAAAGTTGCTCTTGTCACGGCACACCTGAAAGCCTTCCTTTCTCTAGCCAATTCTCCAGCACTATGGGCTTCCACAGCCAATACATCTTCAGTGTCTTGTAGCCACCTTCCAGGAGGTCTGCCTCTGCTTCCTTTTAAGGGGAGCTGTAACCTCCACCACCCTACTCTCTAGGCCAGTGATTCCCAAACTGTGCGCTGCAGCGCCCCGGGGAGCTACAACCTCTTCACAGGGGCGCCCCAAAATATTCGAAGATACACGAGTTTTTTTTAATTTTATTTTTTTTTTATTTCTTACATAGGAATATTAATACTTTTACTTAGGTTAGGGGGCCATAGAAAAATTTTTACTGAAAAAAAAAAGGCGCTGCGACTAAGAAAAGTTTAGGAAACACTGCTCTAGGCTGTCATGAAGCTTAGCATGGACAAAATACCTCAGTTTTCAGGACAGGATGCTGTTTAGGAGGCAGTTCTCCTTGATACTCAGATCATGTCAGATGTAGGTCTTAGTCTTCTTCTTGATCCATCGTATTCTAAGAATGTTTCTGTAGCATTTCAGTTCCATAGCTGCAATTTTATCTTCAATAACTGAGTAAGGATGCACTCCCTTCTACAAGTTGCCACAGAAAAATGCATGATGTATGTATGTATGTAAGTTGTACCCGGCCAGGACCTCACACAAAGCGATAAACACCCGGTGACACAAAGTGCCACCATGATGATGAGGATCACCCATGCAGAGGTCCTGGAAACCCTGTTCAGCCGATAGGCCGTTATGGCCCGGCTATATTTAGGGCTCCCGGCAAAAGCCAGGGTGGGGCTTCAAATAATGAAAAAATGCAACCCACATGGGGACGACTAGACACAAATCTCACAATTTTTATTTTAGCTTTACCACCAGAGTTCATATCTAGAAATCAACAATATTAAAATGTGCCTACCTCTTGAATTGGGTTAAACTCTGGGTCGTTAAGATTTCTCAAGAACCATAAGACACCAGGTCTGAGAACTTCCCGTGTCAGGAGGATGAAGGAGGCAAAGTAGAAAACATAAACCATGCCCACAAGCCAGTGAATAAACATGGATGTGCCGGGTGAAGAGAGGAAGCTGGATTCTCTGTCTTTCAGTGTAGCATCAAACATGGACTGACAACGAGAAATATGTATTCAGCATCACACAAGAAATATGTATTAAGAATCACACAAGAAATATGTATTAAAAATTATTGATCTATGTTTAAGCTGGGTGAAATGCATTTCATTTCAAATGCTTATTGACTGTACCAATAAAAACCAAAAAAAAAAACAAAAAACATTTAAAAAAAATAAAAATTTATTTTATTTTTGTATTTAGACTGAACAATCAGAAATATTTACATTATGGACATGAGAACAGAGAATACTATTATGAAAAACTATATACATAAAATGCAAGAATTAGTAATCATCACTAAACAACTTAGTAAATGAGAGTAGGTACGTGAAGAACCCACACACAAATTTAAAAAAAAAAAAGAAAGAAAGAAAAACATGCGCGCGCGCACATGCATGCACACACATGCATGCACACACATGCAAAAAGCCAGGACTTACCAACGAACAAATGTCCAGCCACCAACCACACACAAGTGGAAATGCCCCAATTTCCATGACGACCAAGAGCTTCACTTTGACAACAACATAACAAAGACCAAAAATTCTCTGGCCCCTGTAATTAAACAAAAAAAGGACACTGATGTCAATTTAGCTAGCGATTTTGGTGTGCATTGTTGGTTTATGGTTTTTTTTTTAAAAACTGTAATGAACCAATTTATTTATTTTTTAAAATCTTGTTCCTTATTGTCCAGTTGTGTCGTAAATACTGATGAATGCTTTTCAGCCACAATGTTCATGTATAGATCGTGATTGTGACAAAAAGAAAGGCATTACAGTGCATTTAGAAATTGGTGCTGATGTTGAAACAATTATACGTCAGCTGTAGTGGAATATAAATGGATGAAATTATATATTTACTTCATTCTCAAAGATGTCAGATTTTTACCCGCATAACAAATAATTAGAATGCAGTTTTTCTTATTTGAAGCATATAAACATATGATGATCCCTGCTTTGATTGCCTTTTCAGAGTTATACAGCACTAAGTTCAAATGTAACCAATCAATTTCTAACAAAAGACGTAAATCTCATGTTTCATGTAAATTCTGAATAAGACCATGACTTTTGCCCTGAAAATGTTGATATATGCTATTAAATCTGTATGCTGCCAAGTTTTCTCAGAAGTTGCAAAAGTGTCACTTGAATGTTTAGTTCTTGTACTATCAGAATGGCACTGAAAGTTAAATTTATAACACTCAAAAATATAATAAGGCAGTTACATAAATATTTCTAAACTGAGGCTAAACACGTTTGTCTGTATCATATACTATTTATAACCCACAGAAAAAAAGCAAAACATGCCCTAGTTATTCCCGATCGGGCATTCTCAAGATGGTCTAGAGAGCAGTTACTTCTTGCTACATAAACCGACAATGAGCGAGGAGTGCTGAATGACAATTTCTGAGAAAAAGCAATAAAACTTCGCTAGAAAATTGCATCATTTTGTAGGTATTTGATGTAGACAGTATTTCCTAATTACATGACTCAATATTGGTCTCAAATAAAGTTTGGAACATTATTTTCAGAGCAATCTAATTATGCCGTTCTGTTTTCACCTGTTCTATGGGCAGTGTTTTCCTCTTCTTTTTCCCTACCCCTGGAATGCAGAGCAGGTGAGAGATTTCTGAAACGGGCCCTTTTATTCACTTCGTATATAGTACTTTTCAGCGTCTCTAATACTTCTGCGTGCGGTCCATATTTTGCGTGGTCGACCTCTGGTTCTGTTACCGCTGTATCTGTATAGCACTGCTCTCGGTGGTGCCGTCTGATGCCAACCTATGGAGAGTGGACTCCACAAATTCAATCCTCTAAACCCACATTCTTTAACTGGTGGGCCGCGGCTCATTTGTTGGTGACAGGGAAAAGTCCAAGTGGCCACCAACATTTGTAATGGTTACAGATTATCCGACCATTAGTAAATTTTCGCTGACTTCCTATCCGTGTGAACAACCTTTCTCCACTATGCCTGTGATTAAAAACCAATAAAAAAAAAGAAAAAAAAAGCTGGTTGTCAATATAAACAACGCTCCATTTATGTTTATCCTGTTTTCTAGCCTCTAAGCAGCAGCAAATGTCTCATTCGTTAGAAAAATTATATTACAATTTTTGTGACATCGGATTTAACCCATAAAATGCTTCCTGCACCTGTTTTCGTCTCGGTGTTTGGTTAGCTGCCAGGTGAGCAGCAAAAAAATTGCTCCGATTTGGTGGGGCATAAAATGGCTGAGGAACAATGCTCTAAACAATACAGCAAACATAACTTTCTCAACAACAGTGTTAAAGTTACTTACTTCCGCAACCGGGTCAATGAACAAAGTGTGTAGATAATAAGGAGGGAGACGGCAATAACAAGATATCCTGCCAGAGTAGTCAGCAATCCCTCAAAATGAGATGCCACCACCTGAAAAAAAAAACAACTAATATTTAACCCGTCGTAAAGAGAAGCCACAAATGTGGCACTTCTAGTTAGGTTCAGTCGGCGTCTGTGGCCTAGGCATTGCAAAAGAGCTACGTAATGCCAGGGTGCTGGGTTCAACCCCAGCTGCAAGCCTTGTTCTGGTTTCAACAGTGGCATCGAGAAGCCGACCGTCCAGAAAGCAAAGGCAACTACTGGACGTAAATCTGCCAAGAAAAACCACAACAGCCCAAAAATGCTGGGGTTGCTTCTGCAAGGTCCTGTAAAGGATATGCAACTAACTTTTAAGTTAAGTTCAATTCCCCAATTTTCCGAGTTGTCTATAGCGATATATTATTAATGAGACGCATGTTTAAGGCTACTCACCGAGGGATTTTGGAGGTCAGGATGTGAATACACTTGCTAAAAACAGCATTTAGGAGCAAACTGACGTCATAAATTTCCTGTACGTTTAATGGCAGAGGAAACTGCTGCGGTGTAGCCGCTAGACGTTGGCCTGTAAGTCATGGGTTCAGCTCCTAAAGGACCATATCACCAATTGAGCAACCATTTGTCTATAAAATATAGGTCTAGTCCTATATGCCAAATATGCATTAAGCTGTGGAAAAGGGTCCTTTACTTCTTTTTAAACTTTTTGGCTATCCTCCGAATAACGGTCGGTAAAGATGGTGGCCGCAAAATATCCTTTCGAGCCACAGTCACGTGTCAATTTCGCAATTCCGGCGACTTAATTTGAGGTTCTCCTGCGGTTTTCCTTCGACTTTCGCCGCCGCCGGGAGTCCCACGCGCTGCGTGGATTGGGGTTAAACTAGATGGCTAGGACCCACGAGCAGCAGCTTCCGCATCTCCTGAAGCTTTGCTCGTGAGTCCAAGCCATCTAGTTTAGCCCCAATCCACGCCACGTGAGCGGCGTGGGGGACTCATGGCGGTGGTCACCGGAAAACCGCTGGAGAACCGCAAATTAGGTCACGCTGTGGCTTGAAAAGATATTTTGAGGCGGCCATCTTTACCGACCGTTATTCGGAGGATAGCCAACTTTTTAAATGACAGAGGTAAGTAAACATCATAAATTTCCTGTAGCATTAAATAATATAGGTCACACGTCACTGTAAGAGTTACCCAATACATATTGTTTTTAGATGCTAAGAATACCCGAATTGGGAGCAAAGATCGCACAGCCAAGCTTGAGAAGGACACCGGACGCACACAAAGTCTTGTTAACCAACATAGGACTGGCACTATTAACCGCTCAACGCTGATGAATATGTTGAGAGGGGAATCTGAGCACCTTTGGATGAATCTGGAGTGCTGTGAAGACAATCTAACTCATAACTCATTGTATTTAGTTCTCGGGAAATTAAATGCTTCAGTCCCTTCATGTTTACTGATAATCCCCTATAAATAACTTAATTTCCACAAAAATTTTTTATTTACAAACTTATTAGAGACCTACTTGTTTTTAATGGATTCTGTTTGGGAATTCCCACAGGGTCACGACAATTTCTTCTTTTGCTGTACTGAACGACAGTTAAACATTTCACGTACAAAATACATTTATACTGTGCAAAATTGTTTCACATCATGTATCATATCTCGTCCAGCATCTTTGGCCTTCAAAAATCAATCATAGTGCTTATTTTGTTTAGCGAAGTGGTGGGCATGTTTGGCAATCAACTTCTGCAATGAGGCTTACAAAACACACATCTACGCTGCTAATTTACAAAATACTTCGAACAGACCACACACACACAAATTTTTTTACATCTGTAAATTATATAATACTTTGATTTTCCATACACAAAATAACATTTACATCTCTAAATTATATTATACTTCTAATAAATATGTACATTTTATCAAATGAAGAATATTCTAGTCTTTCCTTGTAAAACAAGGCGAGAAAAAGAATTCTCAAGAGCCATCTAAATCCTATTTTGATATACTGCGGTAAATCGTGGACAATTAGCTAATTTCACAATTTGTGAAAAATTATATGGAAAGGGCGGAGATGTGGTTTTATAGACGTATGACAAAACGCCCTGGGCAGAAAAAAAGATTAATTAATATGTCTTGAAAGAAGCTCGATTCTTGAAGAGACTTGATTGCCCTCATCAAAGGAGACAATCTACATGTAATCTTGATTCTCGAAGAGACTTGATTGCCCTCATCAAAGGAGACAATCTACATGTCATGGGATGGAGAAAACAGGAGTACATTGTGACCATGGGACAGTTGGAGGAGAAAAGAGGCATAGGGAGACAAAGAGAGAAGATACTAATCAGTCTGACATCACTGTATGGAAGACCATCTGAATCAGAAATTACTGAAAGTACAGGAAACGGTTGTAGCAAGACATGACTACCCCTGCCACATGTCAAGGCCTAGAAGAAGAAGATTCAATGTACACATCCACAACTCTAAATTATGTAATACTTCTACCAATCAGGTATAAAATACTCATCTGTCTCTAAAATATATAATAATCAGTCCATGCATAAAATATAAAATACCCACCCACGTCTCTAAATTACTTCTATCATTCCATGTATAAATCACACATTAATGTCTCTAAATTAGTTTTATCATTCCAAGTATAAATCACACATTAATGTTTCTAAATTACTTCTATCATTCGATGTATAAATCACACATTTATGTCTCTAAATTACTTCTACCATTCCATGTATAAATCACACATTAATGTCTCTAAATTACACAATACTTTATAATATTAATTATACAACCTACCAATAGTCACCGTGGCGTTGGCGGCTAGACACCTGCCTGCTAATCGGAAGGTCGTGGGTTCACGTCCTGACGGAGGCGAACTTTTTTCAAAAATGACCTCATCTCCCAGGTCGACCCAGCCTTAAGTGGGTACCATGTGCAGTCCTGGGAAGTAAAGACGGCTGGCGTGGTGGTGACCACATCACCCACCAAGTGCCGACTGGTCTATAAAAATATAGATCTAGCCCTATATTCCCAATACGCCTAATGGTGTGGAAAAGGGACCCTTATACCAATACATTTCTAAAAAGAAGGGACCCTTATACCAATACATTTCTAAAAAGAAGGGACCCGTTTAACAATACATTTCTAAAAAGCAGAATTCTGATAATCTGAAGCTGCTGTGTGTGATCTATACCTATTTAATACCTATTCCTATTAACAGCAAAACAGCGATGAAAATGTAAAACAAGCTCCGCTACTTACTTTCTTGTTACTTACCATATCTTCAACATTAGCACCAACTAAAGCAAAGTGGCCTATGTGGTAGGGGCAGAATGCTGGGGACAAAAACACTTTCTGTTAAAAGAGTTCATGTGTTTAAAAAAAATTAAATTCCTAGGCTTAATCAATGTAAACCTTCCATTACTAGACCATGAAATTGCATAACCTGTCTGCTCCCCTTTCGGCTCAATAAAATCATGACCACCCATTTTATGAGGTGAGGTAAACACAATGCTCTACTGGTTGGAATAGAATACAATCTGATCTTTATTTCTTGCTCACCTATTTTCTTCTTTTCTTCTTCTTCTTCCCGCTGACCAGCTGTAAACTCCAGCGGAGAGTTCTGGTTGTTCGCCCACCTTTGGACTTTAGTCATGTTCCAGACTACAGTATCGTCTACACATCCATTTTACTGATCTGAATGTGTGCAGACTGTTGGTTCCTTGCCTCTCAGGGAGATGCACTCCGACTTTGTAGCAGGATTACAATTAGTCGACTCTTACAACATGCTTGTTGGGGAGGCAGTGGGTCTATTCTTGTTTTTCCCATAAAAGGGCCTCAGAACATACACAGGGAAAAAACTATTGCATATAACAATGAAATCATTGCAGTCACTCCCAACTTCTCTGCCATATTTATTTATTTCCTTTATTTCTTATATGAGGAAAAATATTGCAGACAAAAATAAAATGATACTTCCTCTACTTTCATAAATGAAGAACTGAGGAGGGAATCAAAAAATTCATCACTGGCAAACATTATCAAAGGAAGAAGATGACGATAGCTTGGACATGTTTGCATAATGCCTCGTGACACGAAGGCAAGGAAAGTTCTCTGAGGGACAGCAGACAGAGGAAAAATAATAGATTGGAGAACCTAAGGAAACCCAGAGAAAGGCAGTAGAAAGGCAAATGAAGGAATGTGAAATGACAAGGGAGACAACAGACAAAGGCAGATACTTGCAGCAGTGGAGCTCTCTTGTGAATGCTCTGTGTGTCTACAGTGACATCTAGAGGATATACAGAAGCGATAACTCCATACGATATTTGTGCTACTCAATAGTGATATGTGCAGGATATATATAGATCTGGTCAAGACAGTGAAGCAAGGAGATGTAAATTTTTCAGCCAGCATCTAACCAGGGTCAGTTTCGGACAACCTAGAGTGGAAATCTGAATCTGATAGTCTAGGAAGTTTTAAAACTAACAGTGGTTTATTTAGCGCTCGTAGAAATTTACAAGATCTCAAAAGTACTTTACACAAAGCGAACTGAAGGGCCCGTTCCAGAGATCTCTTCCAGGCCTAATGCTGTGAGGCATTCCCGGAGTAGAGAAAAGATGAAGATATATAGGGACTCTGCTTACACACCATACTGATGCTGTCATCCACAGTGGCACATCAGTTTGTGTGCTTGCTTGCTTGCTGAGACAGTGGTTAGGGTTCAATCTTCAAAAGTGGCCAGATTTGTTCAGACCAGTATGATTCTGTGGCTGTTCCCACCTCATAAAAAATGGGCATCAGACAATTTCCAGAATTTCCTAGGAACTGTTTGGAAAGAAAAGGCGGTAAGGGGGAACTGGCCATTCTAACTCATTTATCGTGACCTAAAATATTTGAAGGCTAAATGCCTTGCATCCAAGCAGAAGAATCTACAATAAGACCACCTTTACCCCTTGTGTCTCATCTCGGGAAAAGTAATTCTGCACTCAAGAATAACACAAGCTCAACCCTTTGTTGAAGAATTACACAAGAATCAACCCTTTGTTGGAGAATAACACAAGAATCATACCTTTATTAGAAAACAACACAAGAATCTGTCCTTTGTTGAAGAATAACACAAGAATCTGCCCTTTGTTAGAGAATAACATAAGAATTTGCCCTTTGTTGGAGATTAACACAAGAATCTGCCCTTTGTTGGAGAATAACACAAGAAATAGCCCTTTGTTGGAGAATAACACAAGAATCTGCCCTTTGTTGGAGAATAACACAAGAATCTGCTCTCTGTTGGAGAATAACACAAGAATCTGCCCTTTGTTGGAGAATTACACAAGAATGAACCCTTTGTTGGAGAATAACACAAGAATCTGCCCTTTGTTGGAGAATAACACAAGAAATAGCCCTTTATTGGAGAATAACAAAAGAATCAGTCTTTTGTTGGAGAATAACACAAGAATCAGCCCTTTGCTGACAACAGTTGATTTGACATGACTATTTTAATACTTCTGACAGTTAAAAACACAAAAAAAAACACTGAACTAATGTTGAGGGAAAACTGTCACTTACCAAACACAAGAATAAACAAGGTGTTTAAAGACACCACCCAGAATACATGCTCCTGAAAACAGAGAATGATCCATGAGTATGACTGACCATTTACATTAAAAACTAATGATATCATTATGATCTCACACCCAAATTAACAACACAAACTAGTAAAATATTAACTGATCACTTTAGGGAGCAGTAAAAAAAAAAGTAAAGGACCCTTTTCCAGGCCTTTAGGCGTATAGGGCACATAAGGCTAGACCTATATTTTATAGACCAATGGGTACAAGATGAGTGATGTGGTCAGCATCGTGCCGGCCGCCTTTACTTTTCGGGACTGCACCCATGACCTTTCGATTCGCGCCAAGCGTCTAGCCGATCTGCCACGGGGACTACCACTGAACAGTAGCAAATAAACAAATATGCAGGAGGAGAATTCAATGAAACATTAAAATAACATTATGGATCACAACTGGTCAAGATAAAACTGCCCACCTCTATACACCCACTCATCCCTGAATTTCTCTCTCTCTCTCTCTATCTCTCGCTCTCTATCAGTATAAACATGCATAAAACTTACAAAATAATGAACAGAACATTGTCAGTTGGAACCGTAAGCAATAAATAAATCAAGGGATTGATCTGTGAGGTGTTGGAATGTATCTAAACATACAGCCTTTTTTCTTCACACTACCGGCTGAAAATTTTGATGGAAAGTTATGGCTGTTCATCCATTTTTGGACTCAAGTCTTGTTACAGAACTCGTTACAGATCTGGTTTATTTGCAATCAGACTACTGGTTCCTTGCCTCTCAGACAGATGCACTTTAACTTTAAAGGAAACCCCATAATTAGTCGACTTTTACGACATGCTTGCTAGAGAGGCAGTGGATTTATTCTTGCCCCCATAAAAAATGATCATGGAAACCACATGAGAACACCTAATTGTACATTTTGCTTTAAAGAAAATCTGTTGATGTTTTGTTTATATTAGAATACTAAATCTCTTTACAACCACCTCACACACTCTTCTTTTGGGGATCAGAAATAGGCCTGGGGAAGGGGCGGGGGAGGAAAGGTGGGTGTGTGTATGCGTGTGTGTCTAACAGTGGTATTACATCAACTAATGTTTTAACCTAATTCTTGTTCAGACTGAAAATTCTAAGTCAAAATTTTATTCACAGTGTATTACATTTTAAATTATTAATCTGCTATTAATCCAAAGATCTGGCACTGATGGGGAGAAAAATAACATCTTTGTTTCTAGTGTTTCTGACTGTTTTGTAATAGTGAAGAAAACCTGCTTAACAATCTGTCAAAATAAACTATGTTGAATGTAACCATGTAAATATAGTCCCCCCCCCCCCAACAACAACAAAAAAGAGAGAGAGAGAAAAGGAGAGAGAGAGAGAAAAGGAGAGAGAGAGAGAAAAGGAAAAAGAGGGGAAGTCAGAGACACAGAGAGAGAAAAAAGAGAGTGAGAACGAGAAAGCGAGCCAGCGAGAGAGAGCGAGCGAGAGAGAGAGAGCAAGCGAAAGAGAGTGAGCGAGATACAGTGAGAGAGAAATAGCGAGAGTGACAGTGGGGGGGGGGGGGGGGGGGGGGGGGGGGGGGGGGGGGGGGGGGGGACAGCAAGCAAGAGAAGAGAGAAAGCAAGTGAGACAGAGAGCAAGAGAGACAGAGAAAGAGAGACAGAGACAGAGAGAGAGATAGAGCTAAGACACTTAATCTAAACAGGCACATATCAACAGCATCACAAAATCACTTAAGTGAAGTTTTCAAAATTTTTTAATTAAGTGCATTTTCAGGGCTGTTATGTTTAACTTCACAATATGTCAAAGATAGACATGTGAATTTCTGCCCCAAAACCAGACAAAAATTAACCATTAATATTTTAAGCAACTACCCAGTTTCTCAAAAATCTCAACGCTACAGAAACAAGGATTTAGCACTTGATTGACTCTGGCATAGCGTTAACGTTAATAATGTATTCTTGTGAACAACAAATATTAGACTTGATTGTACATGACAACAGAGAGAACTACAGTTTATCAAATATTACTTACCAAAAATACTAATGACCCATCCAGACCAAGAAGCTGGAAAAGAAAATAATTCAAAAACACAATTTTCAATTATTCTAGCCAAACTCCTGTATGCAAACATTTTGTACATTTAGCAGTATCAACAAGTGACCTACATGAGTCCAGTCGTAGGTAAGTAGGTAAACAACTCTTTCCACACCTTTAGGCTTACTGGGAAAATAGGCCTAGACCTTTTTTTTATAGACCTATCTGAACTATGTGGGTGATGTGCTAAGCATCACACCAGCAGACTTTACTTTCCAGGACTTTACCTGTTACCTATTTAAGGCTGGGTTGACCTAGGAGCCAATGTCATTTTTGACAAAAAAAACCAGCCTCATTCAGACTTAAACCCAGGACCTTTGGATCCGCAAGCAAGTGCTTAGCCTCTACACAATGGTAGTTCCCCCCAGCCATCAGCAAGAGGTAATTGTGAGTTTCTCTTCTCCTGCATTCGCCCTTAAAAGGGTAGTTGGCACACTGTTGTAGTTTACAGCAAGACTACAATATCTGTAGCCTCAATTTCAGGAACATCCCTATTAAAGGCCTTTTAGGTCATGCTTTTTGGGGAGCAGTGGGTCAATTCCCTTTTTGTTGTTGCCCTGGGCACATAGGGAAGTTTCTCTTCAAATCAAGGGTCTTTAACAGTCAGAGTTGCTATCAGACACCTCCGGTGGACCCTTTTGAGGTTGGAGGTCTACAAGCCTGTTTTCCTACCTGGTGCTAATCCATCACAGAAGCTGGATTTCATTTCATAAAGCATGGCACAGAAATTTCAATGACAAAACAGTATGACAATGTCTATATCAAGAGAAAGCCCTTTGTCAGGAGTCAAGTTTACCACATACTGTGAGAGAAAGCCCCTTGTCATCAGTCAAGTTTAACACATACTGTGAGAGAAAGCCCCTTTGTCATGAGTCAAGTTTACCACATACTGTAAGAAAAAGCTCCTGTCATGAGTCAGGTTTACCACATACTGTGAGAGAAAGATTAACAATGACCAGATTTCGACTTACGACAGCTCTGTTTTGATTTTTTTTTTTTTTTTTTTTTTTTTGCTAGTCTGTCCGCCAACTCATTTCCTGCTGTGCTTCAGGGAACTGGTATCCACTGGAGAACGATCAGATAGTTTTCTGAGAGTTTATTTGGTAAGTCAATTCTCTTTCCATGTTGTCTCGTGAATCTCTTTAAGTCACCTAGAGGACTGGTGCTGCTCTGCTCTAAAGTTTGCTAAATCCCTTTTCACTCCACTGACACACAGGGCATGCATAGTGACAGACTCAAAGTTTTACTGACTAATTAGTCCTCTACAGCAAGCCAATAAACTTTACTTCCCAGGACATTTCCTGGTATTAATTTTAGGCTGGGACGAGCTAGCGGCCCGAGACAATTATAAAAATCCACCTATGTGGATATGATCCAAAAGCATTGGCCAACAGACAAGCATTTAATCTTGCTTCCATGTTTTTTCCTCCATTTCATTAACAAGTACAGGATTGCAATATTTTATCCTGCTTTATCACTGCAAAACACAACAGTGTTTGCCCTTGTTTTGTTTTTTTTAGTACGGTTCAACGTCACTAACCTGTATCTAGTTACAGAAGATGGTGCTATACTGAGCACATTATGAGACAAAGTGAGCACAGAATCACACACAAAAGTCCAAGAGGAACCACAAAATGGACGCTGATGAGAGAAACCAAGAGTGCTGGACCGGATTCCATCCATATTGAAAAGACAGCATACGACAGAGTGGAATGGAGAAATAAACCACAGGCTCTATATGACATATAATAGCACACAACAGGATGATAATGTCTGTACCTAAAAAGAAAGACCCTTTGAACAATATTTTTTTAGAAATAAATAAATTAAAAAATCTGACCGAAGAACCACTCTGTAAACATACTTCTTACTTACCCTCTCCCATGTCAGTTCTTCTGCAGCTCTGTCCCATTCTATAGGATTCCAGTTGTTATCATCTGGAGAAACAGGACATAATACATTCTAAGAATGAATTACATTACTGCATGTACAGGGATGGTATGCACATACCGAATAGTACAGATGCATTGATGTTAACAATATGTGTATACAAAGATTGTACAGAAATGGATGTGTGGGTAGGAATAAAGGATGGGGGGGGGGGGGGGGGGGGGATAAGATTTAAAGAGAGAAGACAAAGTGAAAGATGGAAAGAGTATATAAAATTAGCCAGGAACAGTAAAGGCAGAAGAGGGAGGAAGAGAAAGATGACACACAGATAGAGAGGGGTTCGGCGTGGAAAGAAAGAAAGAAAGAGATTGAGAGAGAGGATAGAGGACAGAAGGGGAGGTAGGATGAAAGCGGGATGTAGAGCAGTGACACACAGAGAGAGAAAGAGGCAGAGAGAAACACCTGCAGTCTATAATATTATACATCAGTCATTATCACTTTCCCAGAGCTGAACAAGAGAAAATTATGGCCAAGTAAACTCATTGGGCCAGCTTCTACCATCAAATTAAAAAATCATATGATGTCCACATACATGTCTACAACGAATCCAACACGTAACAAGGAGAAACAGGACCAGAAAGGATGATATCAGCAGACAAGCTGGGACAGAACTACATCAATTCACTGGGAAGCAGCTGATCGAATGGTTTGGTCCTCTTTCTAGAATTCAGCCACCACAACTACCAACACAGGCACTACATCTAAGAGAATCTCATGTGAAAGCACAAAGGCGCTCGAAGACTTACAGACGTTAAAAACAGTCTACGTCCACATAGAATGACAATAGCCAGCAACATCCATCGAGTGATGGATCGCAAACTGGAAATTGATAATGACGATAAATGCGCATGGATGAACATACCTTGGGCAGCTGCATTGTTCCCATTGTTGACATCCTCGCCAATCAACTCATCAACCTCCACAACATCAGCCCCTCGTTCATTCTCTCCATCAGCAACAGGTTCAGCTGGTTCCTGCGCTGCATTCAGAATGCCAGCTCCGTTGCCACCACCCCCGCCGGCCAAACCACCAATCAGATTCAGGTTATTGAAACCAGCGCCCCCGAGCTCATTCTAAAAATAAAATTCAACGAAGAAAACAATGTAAATGTTTGGTTTGATTTGTAATAATCACACACAAATCCGGCTTTTTTAGAAAGTATTAATGTCTACTGGCATTCAAATCTGGCTGCGACTCGCTGCAGCACACGGCCGGTGTTCGAAACTGGGAGGTTCTCGGGGTTCACCCAGCCTCTAGGAAATGGGTACCAGAGTTGACACTCTGGGGTACATGGAGGAACGTCGCTGTAGCCACAGTTATGTGCCGACGACGATACAGGCGGACAGTTTCTTATCAGCAGTCAGTACTGGTGGCAGAGCACTTATAATTTATAACCGTGTGCAATGACGCTGGTTCACACCTCCTGACTTTACCTTTATGAATAATATCTACAAAATGACCAGCTGTAAATGTATTCGTCTTTCCTTCCACCAAGCCATTTAAAAAAACAAGTTTATAAGTATACACTAGCTTAATAAAAACAATAAAGAAAGCATGATGGGGGTTATAAGCCCTTATCAGCAGAGTAGTAGGAAACAAAACACAACATAACAATGAACTTAAAGATGAATCAGACGGTTAGTGAAACCTGATCAGTGGGAGTGAGGAGTGGGAGAGAGGGGTTTCCAGGCATGAAATGAAGGTTTTGAGGTTTGAAGTTCGAACGGATCAACATCATGGCACACGGGTAGTAGTAACCCATAAGTGCTCCCGTTCTTCTTTTAACTCAAGTCTGAGTCTGAAGAAGCTCAGCACAGAGCACAGGCTCTCTAGCACCGGCGAGGATCCTGAAATACTTTTGGATAGATTTTTAACTCAAGATTTAGCTAGGCAGCGCCGTTAGGCTACTCTTTTTGATTTCCAACTTCCAAGGGATTTTTTTATGTGCACAACAATGCTCACGGGTGTCCAATCTCACTACCAAAGACCAGGGGAATTACTAGAAGTCCAAGTCCACGTGAAAAATAAATCCCAGCCCTGACCGGGGATAAAATGAAGAAGAAGGAACAAAGTAGGAAGAAACAGAAATAGGAGTGGCTGGGTAAGAAAACATTTCATAACAGAATGTGTAGCTTGTAATAAGTTACTTTTTGAACTGAATGATTTTATGTACCTACTGAAACTAACACCGAACTAAGGCAACAACATAAGAACTCTATGTTTACCCGACGAGCATTGTTGGGAAGCCCCAGTTGCTCCAACCACTCAGGGCCTCCACCGTGCAGGATCTGCTCACGCAACCACACTAAGCTGATGAACGCACATAATGTACAGGTCACTACCAAGCATCCTTGAAAACAGTCTCCAGCTAAGTTCTCTCTGGAAAAGATCCCAAGTTAAAGTGTCAATATGATTAAAGCACACCAAACAAGCTGCACAATAGTAATAATGAAAAAAAAAGGTTGACTACAGATGAGAATTTGTTGTGCCCATTGATTAACATCTGGCTGAAATGTTTGGGTGTGTATGTACATGTTTTTGTTTTTTGGGTATAACTCATAAAGTCAGGCCCAGAAAGAAAGTGACCTGATTTTCTGTAGTAGTGCAGCCTATGTCCCACGACTGCACAGTCTATAATGTATGCTGCAGATAGTGGTGCGACCTAGGCCGCATGCAGTCTTAGGATGTAGGCTGCACTCTTTTGTAGGATTTGAGGGTTTGGGGATACAGCTAATTCTGCATGTTTTAGGACTGTTAAAAGCGCTCACATGAAATATAGAGCATGCGTTATCTCTGGCGGGTGACAACGAGTAAAATGCTAGGTGTTGGTGGCGTGACACCCCCGCTACACAGGACAAGCCCTTCAACACACTGATTCATGAATGGGAAGGGAAGTCACTTTCTCTCTGGGGCCGAGTTGATGAGTTGTACCACTTTTTTTTGATATTATCTTAGCAGGTTAGCTGGTTTGCGTGGCTATTGTTTGTTTATGAGATAAGGTAGCTAACCTCAGGCCCAACCCTGCCTTTCGTGCCTCTTACGACATGCTTGGCAAGGTGCAGTATTGCTATTCTTTGCTTCTAATGAGGGCCCCAGCAACACATGGGCAAGAAATAAATAAATTGCAGTGAACCGAGCAGTGAAGAAAAGATGGTGTTGGATAAGATGCATGCTGAGGAAACCTGAGAATAATATACCTAGAATGTCTAGTGCACTGGAATCCAGAGGGGCACATACATAATGGCACCCCCCCCTCCCCCCAAACACACTTAGAATACATAATGGCAGGCAGCCCCCCCCCCCCCCCCCAAACACACTTAGAGAAGGTCATGGGTTCAAGTCCTGACTCAGCCAGACTTTTTCAAAAATGACCTTGCCTTCCAGGTCGACCCAGCCTTAAATGGGTACCAGGTACCATCCTACACAGTAAAGGCGGCCAATATGATGTTGACCACATCCCCACCGAATGCTGCCAATACGACTGAGGGCTCAGAAAAATGATCCTTCCACATAGAATGACAACAGCTAGTGCTATCATCAAGCAGCGGATCACAAATTGTTTCTCTCCCCACAATGCTGAACAGCAAAAGTAGAAGTTTATGAGACCATGACCCACAACAAATTAGTTACTTCTGTATCCTCTAGAACAGGGTTCATCAAGTGGCGGTCTGTGGGCCAAATCTGGCCCTCAGGGGCCTAGTTAACTGGCCTGTGGATCGCTAAAAATTATATTGCATTATTGATCTGTCTTCGCTGGGGGTTCAGACTTCTGGTCCTACACAACCTCTATTCTCACAATTGTGGCCTTTGAGTATAACGCAGTGAAATAGCCGTGTTCCAGAAGACAGAAGGTCTGGATTTTGTCACCGGGATTTACTGGTGTGTTGGGAAATGAACAGTTTGACAGACTGGCTGGCTCTACTGGGGAATACTTCTGCACAAGGCGGCTTGCTGCTGAATACTGAGGCATGAAAATATAGCAAACCTGGTTCAGCCCTGCCCTGTGGGAAAGGGTCCTTTACTTTTTACTTCAAGACCCCCAGCAGATGGTATCACCATTAGTCTGGTGACTAGGCAACTGATGTAAGGTTCCGGCCTCCTTAAGCTTTTTATTTTCCATTGTAATGCTTGCTTGGTGATTTTTTGTTGGCAAACCTGGTCAGTCCTGTGGGGGAAAGTGTGACGAGAGGAGCAGATCTGGCAGATGTTCGAGTGGAGAGGCTCATGTTCGACTGAAACTGAAGATGGAGCGCTTATGGAAATGCCCAGAGTTGCTGTGATGTCGCTTTTTAAATGAACTCAGATGGTGTTTAGCCTGAGGGTTTAAGGTTAAGAGTTCTTATTTTAACACTCATCAAGTGTAACACATAATAGTGGTTTTTTTCTGAAACATGTAAAAATCTACAAGAAATATTTTAACTCTTTAAGCAATAAAATAAAAACATACGTTGACAGCATATCAAGTGGTAACGTGAGCAAAGAGCTGACAGAGCCTGTAAACAAACACCTGTAGATTCGACCTGAAATTTAAAAAAATGAATAAAATTTATTTCAAAATATACAATGCTATACATGTCTGCAATAGCTTTGCCTTTTGGCCCAACACATTTGATTTCAAGAGGTTTTCAAACAGTCACCTTGTGCAACATGCTTGTTAAGAAGCTGTGGGTTTTACTCCCCCCCCCCCCCCAACAAAAATAGGCTCCCAAAACCAACAGGTGAATGCAGAGATCTGGCTTCTTTTTTTTTCTTCATGCGAAATCAGTAATCACTCTCCCTTCAGCTGTTATTTGATATTTGATGAAGTTTGCTGGCTTTTCTCTCTCTCTTTGCTGCCTAAATAGAACTGTTTTATACCTACATCCTTTAAGTACCTCTACTGTCTAGTATATTCCTCACATAAATTACTTTCTCTGCAACATCTCTTCTAAATATCTGACAACACCTGAAATTAAACTAAATCACATACACTATTTATTATAGTAAAAATTTCATAAAAATAAGAAACAATAAGAAAACTGAAAATCCTTTAAAGTATTCTGTTAGATTTTTTTTTTTTAAATTGTATAAATTTTATTTAGGGTAATGTCTTTAAGAACAAAAAAAAATGAGGTTGGCTGCAACTTATCTCATTAAGTTGTTTGTCAATCACTTAATGTCTTCTTCTTCGCATTTACCAGCAGTAAACTCCGGCAGAAAGTTCTGGTTGCTCATCAACTTCTGGACTGCAGCCCTGCTCCAGAACATGAGTACTGCATGCACATCAGTTTTACCAATCACTTGAATGCAGACTGTTGGTTCCCTGCCTTTCAGGCAGATGCACTCCAACCAAAGGAAACTCTCAAATAATCAAGGCTTATGACATGTTTTTAGGTAGGCAGTGGATCTATTCTTGTTTTTTGCCACAATGGGGGACTGGAACCCACTCTTCTATTTAATATTTTTGCCTTACTTTTTTTTTCTTACCCTCAGCTGTTTTGAGTGTCCAAATCTTCTAATATGTTATGTACCTAATATTCTTCTGCTTTGCACAGCAAAGCACCTCAACAAGCTCATTGCCATACCTGTCTAGATTTGTTCATAAACACGGCTTGATTTCTTCAAATGAGGTCCCATACTTCTCTGGATTTCATCAAATAATATCCCATGACTGGCTGGATTTCATCAAATGATATCCCATGACTGGCTGGATTTCATCAAATGATATCCCATGACTGGCTGGATTTCATCAAATGATATTCGATGAATGATTGGATTTTATCAAAAGATGTCACCATTTTACGCCAACTCTTATTAGTAACATCTTACGACATGCACTGTAGGTTACACTGCTGCTTCTTCTTCACTGCGTTGTGGTTTACAGCTACGCTGTGATATCTACGCCTTTCAGCCCAAAAATCCAATTTCAGCAAATTCCTGAAAAATTACCTTTCACAACATGCTTGTTAGGACAGCTGGTCCACTAAAACACTCCCCCCCCCCCCAATAGAGTCCCAAAAGTTAAAGTTGCTTATCCTTTACAGGACGTTGCAGAACCAACCCCAGCTTTTTTTTTGGCTGTTGTGATTTTTCTAGGCAAATTTAGTTCCAGTAGTTTGCCATTGCCCTGAACAGTCGACTCTCGGTACCACTGTCAATACCAATGCAAGACAAATCGTCTGCAGCAGGGGACAAAACCGGCACGTCGGCAATACAAAGCACGTTCACAATGCCTAAGCCACTAACAGAGTCCCAAAACTCATGGGGAACACTGCTAGTTCTCTCTGCACATTTTATGGGGTAGTCATGACAGGTGGGTAGCACTGCGCACTAAAAACTATCCAATACTCACATGCTGTAAGTGGAACCACGCCCAGCCAAGCAAATGCCACCAGCGTGTAGTGAAACCAGTATCTGATAGCCCTGGCCATGCTGGTAACCAGGCCACTAACAATATCCTTGATAGGCAAACGATTCGGCATGTCTGGAGAATAAACTACAGACAAACAAGATCTTCAGTTACAGTGTAAACGAAGCTATGAAAAAAACTGAAGGCAAAAATTGCTCCAGATAAACCAACAAATAAACTAAACTTAATAAAAGCTTATAAAAATAAAGTTAAGGATCCTTTTCACCTCTCTGGTGCACAGGACATAATGTAAATAAGTAAAGGCCTTTTCATGCTGGAGGAGCATCAGGCAAAAATATTATTAAACTTATTTATGACTTTTCTGGAAATAGGCTAAATATTTCTCTTATATATAAGCACGTAAAAAAAATATACAATGACAGCACATCAAGAGGATGTGAGAGAAAAGAACTAACATAGCCTGCCTGTAAACATCACATGTAAATTTGACCGGAAATTTTGAGGCTGAGAACTTGCCAGATTGGAAACCTAGAATACATTGTTAATAATGAACAAATGAATCAAGAACTGACATCATTGCCCTCAGTACATTTCCATATGTGCTCTGTCTCCTCCCTCAGTGGCTAATGAAGAGTAATTTGTTATAAGAAATATACGTTTTTAATGACTTGTAGAAACCTGAAATATCAACAGCTTTGTCCCAGGTCGTGATTAGCTGACCAGCCAGAATACAGCAATGATGAGCCGCTAGCCAAGTGGTTAAGAATGCTGGACTATTATTTTGGGAGACCCAGGCACCTTGGTAAGGTAATAAAGTAAAGATCCCTTGTTCACACCTTTAGGGGTATAGGGCATAAAGGACTAGACCTATGTTTTTTTAGACCAATTGGCACAAGATGGGTGATATGGTCAGCATCGCGCCAGCCCTCTTTACTTCCCAGACTGCACCTGGTGCCCACCCAAAGCTGGGTCAACCTGGGAGTCAAGGCCATTTTTGAAAAAAAGTCGGGCTCAGCCAGGAAGCGAACTCATGACCTTTCGATTCGCATGTGAGCATCTAGCCGCTACGCTATGCCGAATCCTTTGGTAAGGTAATGGATTTTTTAATGGTGGGGGGCACACAATAATCCTAACCTGCACAGTCTGTAGGAACTAGACTGGCAATTAACTCTTTTAGTCCCAAGCACGCCCAGTGTGTGAATGTACTTGCCCCTTGAATCCTCCCCATAGCATAATGCACTCATTTATGTTTACTATTTTTTGGTCAGAACATACTAGTGAAATCTGACTTTCCCCATTAATCACTACAACTACGTATGTTGCCACTTTGAAAGTAAAGCATTTATGATTTGGCATCATTATTATTTCATCACTATGGCCTGTCCAGCGAAACCTTCTGGTACTGAAAGAGATAAGCAATAAACTATCAGGCTTAACCCCCCCCCCCTTCCCCCCAACCAGTAAAGAAAGACAACATAACAATGTTTCTGATATCAAACAAGATTACCCAAAATGAACACAATATTGATGAGAGAAAAAACACACTCACTTGGTGTAAATGAAAATCTGTGTTTACATAGCTCACAATACTCTTTCCGGCTGTACTTGAGCCACTGCACCAAACTGAGGAGATGATTGATACATGTAAAACAGCCAAAAATCTCTCTCTTTCTTTTGTAAAAAGTAAAGTAAAGTAAAGGACCCTTTCCACGCCTTTAGGTGTATAGGGCATACAGGGCTAGACCTATATTTTTATTGACCAACGGCACAAGATGGGTGATGTGGTCAGCATCACGCCAGAAAAAAAGTTAGTTGCGTATCCTTTACAGGACGTTGCAGAACCAACCCTAACAGCCCCTGGCTGTTGTGTGGTTTCTCTAGGCAATTTACATCCAGTAGTTTGCCATTGCTTTCTGGACGGTCGGCTTTCTTGATACCACTGTCGAAACCAACGCAAAGCGCATTGCCCGCAGCTGGGATCGAACCTGGCATCCTGGCATTACGAAGCGAAACGTTCGCATCGACTTAGCCACAGAGCCGACTCTCTTTCTTTTGCTTTTTAAAAATTAGATTAATCTTCACAGAAATGGGACAACTAACAACATGTTTGATACATTTACGTCTATCAATGCAAATGTAACAAGAACTATTTTTTCCCCCACAAATTTTATGTTACTGGGGGAGCCACCATGGTGTAGCAGCTAGCTGCTTGCCTGTGGATCTGAAAGTCATGGGTTCGGATCCTAGTGGTACACGACTTTAAAAAAAAATGACCTTGGCTCCCAGGTTGACCCAGCCCTGAGTGGGTACCCTAGGAAGTAAAGGCAGCCGGCGTGATGCTGACTGCATCACCCACAAAGTACAGATTGGTCTATAAAATACAGGTCTAGCCCTATATGCCCAATACTCATGTAGGCGTGGAAAAGAGTCCTTTATGTTATAAGTGCCAAACAAGGACCCTTACTGCAACTAGCGAGTAATAAATCATAACGGAGATAACTTGTCTAAGAAGAGCTGTCGGAGAAAAAGAAAAAAATTTAAAATAAGACATTAGAAGTAGTCATATAATTCATTAACGAGCAACATTCCTTCGAAGTCGGAGTACAGCTGCCCATGAGGCAGGGAACATTAAAACGGTTGTACACGCAAAAATCAGGTCCGGGTGAAAGTCAAAAGTCCAAGTGGACGATTAACCGTGACCTCCTGCCGGAATTCACAGCCGGTGTACGCACACAAAAAAAAAAAAAAATTAACGAGCAACAGATGAAATTGTTTGGCCATATCATGAGAATACCCTGGTACCAACAGCCAAAGACAGTCGTTCTAAAGAACTGTAATGAAAATAGATCAAGGGGAAGTCCACGCAAAAGATGAAACAAGCACATCAAGAACAGCCTTAAGAAATGAAGATCATTTTATACAACACAATAGAAGACCCTTACATCTTACCCTAACACGATGATGAATCATCTGAAGAAGGAGAATCTGCATAGCTCTAGACTTCTGTTGCATTATCTCCCAATTCTGTTTGTGTACCATGAATAAATAATATCCCCTCTATTTATTTTCACGCTTTTCAGTATCAAAGCTAATGTCTCTATAAAATTCACACTTGGTTTGTTTCTTCAGTAGAAAATTAATTTATTTGATGTGTATTATTTTTGTGTTCACCTTCTTTTTCACCACTTCAGGTGTCCAGTGAAATATCTAAGGTTCTGGTATTCATACTTCTGGTCATCAAAGGCATTTGATACTGCTGTATTATTTCTCTGATGTTATCTATCCACACTGCGCCTGGGTTCCGCACCCCTCTCTACTTTTGGTATAAGCTTTGTATAATATACCATCAAATGGCATTCTTCTTCTCCTTTACTCCACCGCTCTTTCACACATACAGACATACATAGATTTAATTTTTTTTCTTCAAAAAAGACGCAGACCTTAAAGCATCTATTAAAAATGGTATCTGGTACGCACTACAGCGCTTATTAGAGTAATGTTGCGCACTAAAAGAAAAAAAAGGAAAATCTGCCTTCATACAAGCCATTTGTAAACACATCAATATCATCTGTAAACATGCAAAATTAAGCTACATTAAAAAAAAACAAAATTTCAAGCTGCGGTACTGTAGCAGCCAGATGCTAGCTTGTTGGTCCGGAGGTCTAGGGTTCAATTCTGCATCAAGGCTGATTTTTTCTTTAAACAAACACAAAAAAGATCAACCTAACCCAAAGTGGTAATGTCCTAGGAAGTAGAGTTGGCCGGCATGATGCCGACCACGTCACCCATCAAGTGCCAAGTGGTCTATAAAAATTAAGGTCTAGCCCTTTATGCCCACTGTATCATGGGAATGAAATGGATCCTTTATAAAACATTATTAACTGTTATGTAACTGAAAAGTAAAACACCATATGCAGTGGGAGCCACCGTGGTGTAGCGGCTAGATGCTCGCTTACAGATCCACGGGTCATGGGTTCAAATAAAAACAGAGATTGACCTTTTTCTTCAAAAAAAACGGTCTTAGCTCCCAGGTCAACCCAGCAGGAAAGATTCTGGGAAGTAAAGGCAACAGGCAGGATGTTGACCACTTCCCCCACTGAGTGCCCATAGGTCTAAATAATACACTCCTAGCACTACATGACCAATAAGCCTAAAGGGTCCTTCAACAAATGCAGTAATATTTCTACAAAGACAAGTTGTTTACCAGTCCTGATGTACATATTTGATGCTTCCAGTGCAGACACAAGGATGATACAATGGCTTGTCTCCTGTTCCCTCACAGCGACAGACACGACAAATGTCTGGAAATTGTATATTTTGAACACTTCAATAATGAATGCATAAGTACATTTTATGAAAACAAAAGCAATCAAATACAGATGTTCAGGAGATAATGGGAATGGAAAAAAATTAGTTCCTAAAATAAACAGAGACAAATAAACAAAAAGAGTGCAATTTTCTGGCCACATTTAAAGACACAACATTCTTTCAAAAACCATACTGGAGGGAAAAGTTTAAAGCAAGTCAGCAAGAGGTAGACAATGATACAATTTGGGGGAACAACATTAGGTTATGGACGAACAGAAGTCTGAAAGAGTGTACAATGAGGGACAAGGCTTGGGAGTTTTTATTGCAGCCAACCTTCACTGTGGAGACATGACTGATGGACTGAGAAATAATTCTTAAATGGGAAACTTTTATTTTAGTAATGAAACATAGTTCAGACAAAAAAATCTCTTTAAACAAAGAAGGCACAAACAATAGAATGCAAAATTTATTGCCTGGCATATTTCGCTCTATCTTACGAGATACAATGAAATATGCCAGGCAATAAATTTTGCAATCTATTGTTTGTGCTTTCTTTGTTCAAATTTACAACAGGGATACATAAAATACTTGCCACTGGATAGTCATTACTGCCTCTGAGATTTCAGATTCTAGCATGGATACCCAGTGTCCTCAGAGGCTGACAAATGTTTACTGTTCATGTCACCACACAATTATACCTGGGAGCTGCATGGTCTCGAGGTGTCCACCTCAAGTGCTAGAGGTTCCGTGTTCAATCTCGGGTAAGGGCTGGGATTTTTTCATGTGGACGGACTTCTACTAATTCCCCGGGTCTCTGGGTAGTGAGGTCGGACGCCCGTTGCAAACGTAAAAAAACCTCTTGGCAGTCGGAAATTGAAAAGAGTAGCTCAACGGATCCTTGCCGGTGCTACATAGCATGTGCACTGTGCTGAGCTTCTTCGGACTCAGACTTGAGTTAGAAGAGCGCAGCACTTATGGGTTACTAACAGTGTGCCATGATGTTGATCCGTTGTTCTCAGAAAATGATACCTATGACTATAAAGACAAGTCTTTAAGAATCATAAATGTTTTCTAAAACTAGCCTGAAAAGTGGACCTTCACCACAATTAAGGAATGGAAAATCATAGCATATGAGATGTGTAAGAAGAGGAGGTACCTGGGTAACCTGAAGAAATCAAATTTAAACATTAAAAGTACAGGACTTAAATCAGCCATAGGAACCCAAAAAAAATTAAATGGTTTGGGAATTTGAAGAAATTGCTGTTACTAACTACCAGATACAGCCATACTGAAAAAGTACAATAAACATAAAGCAAAGTGAAGAGGATACAAAATATGGAACAAAGACATCAAGAATAGGTTAGGATAAATGAAGACCAACTAACAAACAGCATACAAATGGCAAAGTGGATTGTTGCACGTTCCCTCCAACTGCAATGAGGTAAAGAGAGGAGGGGGAGAACTGAAGAAATCTGGCTGGAAATTTTAATTTACTTAACAATGCAAGTTACCTATTTGAAGAACAAAAAAATAAACTTATGCCCCTTTTTAACTGATGTGATTGTCCCTTAAACTTTTAGGGGAAAAAATCAGTTTAGAACAAACAATTGTATGCCCTATGGTTATGATGTCAATTTTAAAATCAGGAAATCAGAACAGAAACATGGACGATGAACAAATGTATGGTTTTCATCTGTTGAAAAAAAAAAATGTAAGGGCTGTAACATTTATTTGTTTGTCTTTTCTTTGGATTTTAAAACATCACAAAGAAACAAATAGCATTATTTGGCCAAATGATGACAAGAGAATGTATTTGTTTTCCCTTAATAGCCTTCATGAACAATAATTAAAAATAAATAATCATAAATGAACTGTGAATGTAGAGTGTAGAGACTGACATGACACTGACTACTGGCTCAGAATAATTCTGTGAATGTTAATGAGAAGATCAGATCTCAGCCAGGGTAATATTTAAATTAAAAAGAATCATTATCAGACTGGCATAGGCGATCATGATTCTCCACAATCAGTGATCTGTAACTGAGTATCAATTCCTGTGTTGACACCCCTCCACGCTATGATAAAAGGCTGTCAAGAATCTTCTCACACCGTCTTTCTCTTTCAATCTTTAAACAAATATTTCCTGTGTTCACAACATGTTCCCTTTTCCCTCTTATAAAAATGTGACCCAAAAATAATGACTGTCTCTTTCTGATGTTTGTGATAAGTTGTCTTTGAGCACTCACCTCTTTCAAAACATCTGGGTTGCTTATTTTAGCTGTCAAGGAATTCTAAGGATTCTTCTGTAAAACCACATCTCCAAGGTCTCAAGATACTATTCAGCATGATTACTAATACATACTAATTGTCCAGGATTCACAGCCGTGAGATAAAACTGGCTCTATTTTGCATGCAAGAATTACTTTCATATCCTCCAATGACATGGATTTATTGCATATCTTCCATTGAATGTTATCAGGTGCCTAGATAATTAAATCTCTGTATTTGTCCTAAAAATTAAACAACGCCTTGGATATATTAATTCGGCTCTACTTGGAAAAACGTTTCTAAATGAACTACGCAGAAAGTTAACCCAAACAGAGCCTCACAACGCAGACAGTTAACCTGAACAGAGCCTCACACATATGTAAAAGTCGCATTTCTTTTGCGGCGATTCAACCGTGTCAAAAGTAGTATTAACTGCGCACGACATTTTCGCGGAACGCAACTGATTTTTTACGGCGATTAGATGGCGGCAAAACAAGGATTAACTGCATACGAAAAAAATTACCGACGCGACAATACTCCCGATAGCGCTACCCTACGGCAGGGCCCGAGTTATATGTAAGTTGCCGATCACTTTTCGCCGACTATAGTGCCACCTCCAAGAGTATCCCCCGCGCCGCTTCACGCGGCGCGGAGGGGACTAAACTAGATAGCTCCTTCTAATGTATTTGCTCGTGAGTTCTAGCCATCTAGTTTAGTTCCTTCCGCGCCTAGCGGCGCGGGGATACTCTCGGAGGTGGCACTATAGTCGGCGAAAGAATTTCACATTTACTGACCCCAGGTCAGCGTACGTTTCCGGCCTCGACATTTTGAAATGTTTGTAGGGCAGGACTGTTTGAGATTAACTTTCTGCGTAGCTCATTTAGAACCGTTATTCCAAGTAGAGCCTTAATTTCTGTAGTTCTTTCTGACTGGTTGCTTTCAAGACGGTGTGATCAGCATAACACAGTGTGTTTATGATATTGTTACGAACACTAAACACAAATCCTAGCATTTTCATGAATCCATGATATGATATGATTGATTGCCATATATTATATTCACTGTTAAATGAAAGCACATCGGGTGATAGTACACACACATCATTGCAAGTCTATGTATGAATGTATGGTATGCTCTGTAATCATGTAATGTTCCAAAATGGTTACTAATTATTATAGCTGCTGTTTGCTGCAAATACATATACATGTTCTTTATATCTATTGTATTAATAATGCAATTATAATTATTATAATTATAGTTTATACTATTATTTTTTATACAGTACTTAAAGTACTTAATTAAATTTAAAAGAATAGAATATTATACATAATAGATAATACAGTGGATTCGATTCATAAATAAAACGGAAGTCAGACGCCCACAGAATTAAGACCAGCCCAACAGCCACTCAAACATTTTACAATAAATCTTTAAATGTCACCGATAGAGCTGAAGGTAATTCCTATAAAGACCATCATAAACGTCAAACGTAAAATAGACCTAACATTCTACACGTACCTAGTTGTCCGTCGTCTTCTGGGTCGTCCATGTTTGTTTGTGTCTGAATTGGATGTCGTAATCTGATACCTGTACAGCTGCTTTATAGCTACACTGTCATTCTCAGTGTATCATCTTCAATCCTATGCACAGTTATGATAATAACCCAGCAATAGTTTAATGAATTTCTCTCATTAGGGGGCATAAATCGGCTCCAGAAAGTGAAATCTTGAACACTTTGCTCAACTCGGGGAGCTTACAAAAAACCGGAAGTAGACGTATGTGTTTTCGTCTTTGCTAATCAATAAATCATGTTAACGATTTATTTTTGATAATTGTACAGTTTCACCAGAAAGATGACTGTAATATTTAACAAAGGTACTAAAAATGATAAAAATGAGAAAAAATTAAATTAAATGGTATACTGCCTTGACTTAAGCATTTTTACGACTTATTGAAACAATTTGCGGCATTACTTTGTTGTCAATGTAAACAAAACTACTTTTCTCAACTTTGTAGCACCGTAAGAAATAATATTTTACTTATGTTAGGCATATTCCAATAGCAACATTACTGTACTGTTTATTTAGCTGTATGTTTCATATGACGTCAAAAAGATAACTAGCTATTATTGTCAGGGTTTGGTTGCAGGCGATCTGGTAAGAGACCACTTTTCGGTTCTCCTTTAAATAACGGTCGCTAGTTGGACGTCGACGGCCGTTTAGTCGGAGTTCACTCCCCTGGCTGCAGTGCAATTAAGGAGTGGACAAGTCACGAATCAAAACACAAAGTGACGTCGACATGGCTGCTAGAGCTAGACAACGGGCTGCGACTGACATTAGCGACCGCGGTCTTGCGACGCAAGACTCTCGTAGACCACGCGTTGCAACTCAAATTAGCGACCGCGGTCTTCCGATGCAAGACTTAGTGACCATAGATGTGAGACCTGCGGATCTGTATGTCGTAATGAGCGATAAGCTTGCGTGGTTTCCGTGATGTGTTACCCTAACGCTACCCCTAACCCTACCCCAAACCCTAACCCTACCCCAAACCCTAACCCTACCCCTAACCCTAACCCTACCCCAAACCCTAACCCTAACCCTACCTCAGACTCTAACCCTACCCCAAACCCTAACCCTAACCCTACCTCAGACTCTAACCCTACCCCAAACCCTAACCCTAACCTTACCTCAAACCCTAACCCTACCTCAAACCCTAACCCTACCCCAAACCCTAACCCTACCTCAAACCCTAACCCTACCTCAAACCCTAACCCTACCCCAAACCCTAACCCTAACCCTACCTCAAACCCTAACCTTACCTCAAACCCTAACCCTACTTCTAACCCAAACCCTACCTCAAACCCTAACCCAACCCCTAACCCAAACCCTACCTCAAACCCTAACCCTACCCCTAACCCTACCCCTAACCCTAACCCTACCTCAAACCCTAACCGAAACCCTAACCCTTCCCCTAACCCTAACCCAAACCCTACCCCTAACTCAAACCCTAACCCTACCCCTAACCCAAACCCTACCTCAAACCCTAACCCTAACCCAAACCCTACCTCAAACCCTAACCCAAACCCTAACCCTAACCCTAACCCAAACCCTACCTCAAACCCTAACCCTACACCTAACCCAAACCCTACCTCAAACTCTAACCCTACCCCTAACCCAAACCCTACCTCAAACCCTAACCCTAGGATGACAGGTAACTATCTCATTTGTTTCGTTCCCTCTTTTTCACTCCGTAACTGCACTGCAGCCAGGGGATTGAACTCCGACTAAGCTAACAACCGTTATTTAAAGGAGAGCCCACTTTTCTTTCCTTGTCCAACAGGGCATAACAGAGCGTCGTAACAGAAATATCCCTAACTTCCTAATAGTAATACTGACAACAAAAACGTGAATAATTATATGACAAATTACTTAACATAATTTTGGCCTATCCTTTGAATTACGGTCCCAAATTATCGAGGCCGAAAATATACCTCAGTGACATGTAAACTGTGAACTTCCGACGACTAGTGCCACCATCGAGAGTATCTCCCGAGCCGCGGAGTGGGGCTAATCTAGATGGCTGGAAATCATGAGCAAATAAAATGAAGGAAGCTGCAGGAGATGCGGTAGATGCTGCTCGTGAGTCCCAGCCATCTAGTTTAGCCCCACTCCGTGGCACAGGAGATACTCTTGGCAGTTGAGGTTGTCGCCAGAAGTCCGCAATTTAAGTTGCTGAAAGTTAGCTATTTACATGTGACTGAGGCCCTGTTAGGGTATATTTTCGGCCTCGATAATTTAGGACCGTTATTCGAAAGATAGCCAAAAAAATATGTTAAGTAATTTGTCATATAATTATTCACGTTTTTGTTGTCAGTATTACCATTAGAAAGTTAGGGATATTTCTGTTACGGTGCTCTGTTACGCCCTGTTGGATAAGGAAAGCAAAGTGGTCTCTTACCAAATCACCTGCAACTAGCTCCAAACCCTGATATTTTTATAACAGACAATATTACAGTAAGAAATAAATACATAAATAGCTTTACAGAAATAAAGGATCAGTTTATACATGTTTTAGAACAAGCACCCCCCTGCACGACGTGCGAAATGAGATGCTTACGTAAGGCTGCCAATGTCACAAGGAGAGACAGAGTTCGAAACGAGAACATTAGATCAATTGAAGGAACCACACCATGCCTGCAATACATAAAGAAGCAACAAATAGAGTGGTTTGGCCACTTGATGCGAATGCAAACCGACCAACTGCCTCTACGAGCATACAACGAACAACACTACTGCCCTAGAGCAAGAGGCAGACTGAGAGTACGATGGATAGACAATATATCAGAGATCCTGAGGCAACACGGACTAACAACAACACATGCAACACACCTGGCCCAGGATAGAAAACTGACTCTCCACTACACTGTGAGGCAATTGTGGACAAGACAAGACCCCCCTGCAATACTTTGATATGGTAAATGGAAGGAGAATATGAAGGAGGAGAAGAATAAGAAGAGGAAGAAGCAGAAGAAGAAAAAGAAGAAGGAGAAGAAAAAGAAGAAGAAAAAGAAGAAGAAGAAGATGAAACACACTACAGTATAATTGCATGCTTCTTCTTCATCTCACAGTCCATGGTGTGTGGCAATATCTGTCATGTTTGTCTACAGCCTACTGTTAAAAAAAAGGACTTTTTTCAAGCCTTTACTTTCCCGGACTGCACCCGTTACCCATTCAAAGCTGGGTTGACCTGGGGGCCAAGGTCATTTTTGAAAAAAAGTCCCTCTCCGCCAGGAAGCGAACCCACGACCTTCTGATCTGTGCGCGAGCATCTACTCGCTCCACCACGGTGACTCCCCACAGCCTACTGTCTTGTTTAATTTAAGTTTTTTTTAATGCATATGTTCCTCATCATGATGCTAAACTATCTTTCACTGGCTGTCTTCTCCTCCTGACTCCTATTTTCATGAAAGACTCCAATGTTTTCCTTGTCATATGTAACCCAAAAAAATTGTAGCAAATCTCTGTTTGATTAGTTTTTCTCTGAGAGTTAATTTTGAGACATTTACATTACACAATTTACCTTTATCCATAATACATCTGTAAACTATAACTGTAGTTCAGAATATATTTGAAGCTACATATCATCATCTTTGTGTAGCAGGTCCTTTGCAGAATATCACTGTCATCATGGTCTGCCTCAAAACAAAACCGTTTGATGCGTTTTGCTACCCAAGGTGTCACTTTTTTTTCTGTACCAATCTTCATGCTGGTTGGCCCTTTCCCTCTTTGTTGGCACTGTACCATCTGCTACTATTCTTTCTAATCTCAAGCTAAGAACAAGACTGATATACAATCATAGAGTTACTGGTACCATCAGAACTGTTAACTCTTTGCTTGCTGCTGAAGATGGGGACAGAGCACTCATGGGACTGTCCTGAGTCCTGTTATGCCAGTTTGAGAATGGAGGTGGAGGCAGTCTGCTGCCTTCCGCTGGCTTGAGAACTGGAACTCATCGCTTGCTGCTGAGGATGGAGAAGGAGCACTTATGGGATTGTCCTGAGTTCTGTGATGTCAATTATTAATTCAACATTCAACATCATCAGCTTTCACTTTTGCTGTTAAGCCTTATAGGGCAGAACAGTTCAGCACTTGATAAGTATCACTGGCTATTGTCATTGGTATGTGTGTATAGTGTCTTTCTGCCATCCATCCATCCATCCTGCCATCTATCCATCCATCCATCCATCCATCCATCCATCCATCCATCCATCCATCCATCCATCCATCCATCCATCCATCCATCCATCCATCCATCCATCCATCCATCCATCCATCCATCCATCCATCCATCCATCCATCCATCCATATTTTCCTTGGGAGTCCCTTTGCTCTCAGATCTATTCCTTTTAGGTGTATTGTCTGTGTTAGTCATTAAACCTGTATTTGGTCTTCAACTTCTCTATAAATTTAGTGCACGGTGTTATGATGTTTCTTAATTGTTATTTTCTCCATCTTGCATATACTCTGAAAACTTTTTTTGACCAAAAGAGTAAACTATCTCTGCCAAATAAGCCTTCTTTACCAGCACCAAAGTATGTTTAAAATGAATCCTTATTGATTTCACTCAATGCATAATTAATTTTTGCTATTTTAAAATTCAGAATTTTGAATTATGGCAACAAATGAGTTGGTTTCAAAGGAGGAATCAAGAGTTATTAATGAGAAATGGGATAATGACGATCTTGCCACTGTAAGTTTTGACCTCTAAGCCATTGAATGTCCTATTTCAAAAGCTAAATTACCCTGATCAAACTAAATATTATCTATTCATTAAATGTTTGGAAGTCAGATTAACACAGTGGCTTTTATGTTTGCCTGTTTGCCCACCCAGTTGTCACAGTTTTGGTTACAAAGAGAAGAGCAAAGGCTAATATATTAACCATTTTAAATAAAATGAGGAATGTAACATGGTCCTATGAAAAAGACAATATAAATGGGGGGGGGGGGGAGGGGAGGGAAATAACATAACAAGAGGCAGGAGAAAGAGAAAGTTACAGTCTGGAAGTAGGGATAGAGAACAGTTAATGATAAAATCCTAATAGAGCTTAGAGGAGTAATTGTCTATCAGGCGCAGCAGTAACCTGTGCCTCTCCCCCTCATCCTGCCTGAAAAAGTCACCCTTATCGTACCCTTATCACACTATTTATAGATGTGCTTTCTGAAGATATTTCTTTAATACATTTAATATTATTATAAATATATGATTATAAAAATATGATTATATTCATTTGCCATTTAACACACAAGAGTAATTATTATTGTTATTATCATCATTATTTTTACACACTTGAATAAGGCTCTGAGATCATCCGATGATTTTTGTGTGCCAGCATCCGATATGTATGCATACCACTTTTGTATCACCAACAGCGCCTACATGGCATGTCTTGAAGAGAATAGTATTGATAGTACTGGCAATGTGTGTATTTGTGTAAAGAACTCTTTTATATGCCTCCATGTGTATGTATTGGGTGTGTAGTTCTTGACCTATATTTTATAGATCGATCAGCACTCTGTGTGTGATGTGATTGTTGTTGTTGTTACTGATCCTGTGGCGCATGAGCTTTTACCCTTTGGCCCAATGCCATGTAGTGGAATTTGCATGTTTTAACAAGCCGTTCTTTTCCTCCTTACAAGATGTTCCACTTGTCTGGTCTCAGAGGAAGTAGCATTCTTGTAGTCTTCCTGAGCTTTAGGCACTCAAAGAGATGGTGTTCAACAGTTTTGTATGGGTAGCTACATAGCTGGCACTCTAAGGAGTGTTGTGGCTGTATTCTGTTTAGATATCCACTGAGTGGAGTATGTTGTGTTCTAAACATGAAGATGGTGGCCTGGTCCCTTCTTGTTAGATGTGGTATGGTTTAACATCACACCAACCACCTTTACCTTTGAAAAAGTACTGATTTGTTAGTGTATATATTTGTACAGTACATAATTAGACTCACTTAGACTCATCCAAGGCCAAGTGATTAATGAAACTATCAGACACATTATGTGAACAATTTCTTGTACTAGATTCATCAGGAAACAGCAGATCACATGGTTTGGCCATCTCCTTAGATTGCAGCAACATCAGATGCCATTGTGGACACTAGATCTCAGAAGATCAGCTTCAAGGGCAAGAGGATTGCCACACAAAAATGCATCGATAACATTAAAGGCACTTTATGCCTTCATGGCATGACAATAGTTGATGCAATCCAATATACACTGAATCGCAAATTATCCCCTCCCCCACGACGCATAACAGCAGAAGTGGTTTATGAATGATGATGATGACTTAGTTAGACAGCATATTCCATTCCAGAACATGACTATAATATAAACTCTAATTTCAAAAAACCATAAATGGATATGTATCTGCTAATTGAGAATCAGCTTTGCATGCATGTCGTAGCTGTAACTGACTCACAAAATATGTAGATAAAGGTGGAAACATGCACGTTCTGTGCAGAGTGGCAAGCATCGCTTCAGATGTCCCGGGTGGTTAGCGACCTTTGGATATTTTCTTCAGGTCATGCTGGTGTGTTGGGAAAATAGCAAGCAGATAGACTTAACGGTTCTGCACCACTTGGTAGTGAATTGATTTATGACGAGCTAGATGTAATAAGGGCCCTTTTGGAGCAAGTGCACGGTGCAGAAGTACAAATAGATCATTATGGTCTGAGGAGAGTGGCGCTTCAGGAAGTTACCACGGGATCTGGCTGATGCTCAACACTCAAGGAAAAGACGAGATGGATATAGAATCAGACAGTTACTGGTAACATCGGAAATGGAACTCTGCGCTTGCTGCTAAAGAAAGCGACGGAGAGCTTATGGGAGTGTCCCAAGTGCTGTGTTGTTGATTCTCAATTTAACATTCAACATACATTTCTGCTAATTATATTTTCATTTTGTTTAATTTTCTGTTGTTGTCTTTAGGTGAGAATTAAAATATTTCGAGGTCACACAGAGAGTGTCGGCAGTTGTCAGCTGATTCAGAACTCTGAGAAAGTCTTCAGTGCATCAGACGACTGCAGTGTTCGGCTATGGGATACCAGTACAGGAGAATGTTTACGATGTTACAAAAACTTGCATACAGGAAATATATCCCAGGCACATGCCACATTACAGGGCAGCAGGTAAGGCAGTCTTTCAGTAACAGGCAGAAATTACTGTAATTCAGGGGTGCAGCACAAAGAAAGCACTGGGGAGGCTCAGCCCCTTATAATTTTTTAGTTGTTTAAACCTTGTGTGAATGCATAATAATAATTACCATGTGCCAGTTTGCAAATAAATATAACATTTTTAAAAGAATTTGAAATGTTTAAATGCTTGTACATGGGGGGGGGGGGGGGGGCACAAATTTTCTAGTATGTGAGGGAAGGAGTAAAATTTCTTTCTAAAAAAAAGGGGTAGAGGGGAGGGAGGTGAGCCCAGTTCAATGACCAAATTTTTGCGGGGCAGAGAAATGGGATGGGGGGTGGTGGGGTTCTAGTGGTTTCTAAGCCCCCAGGTTTCAGCACCCCTGCTACCTGTGTGGGTTCCAGGGCCCTATTATAGGGAAAATAAGAATAGAACCACTGCCTACCCAAAAGCATGTTGTAAGAGTCGACTAATTGGGAGCTTCCTTCGAAGTCAGAGAGCATCTGTCTGAGAGACAAGAAATCAGCAGTCTGCCTATAAATGAGTCAAGATTTGCAAAACTGATACACACGCAACACTCAGCTTCTGGAACAGGACTGCAGTCCAAAATTGGATGAACAGCCAGAGTTTACAGCTGGCTAACACAAAGAAGAAGAAGCACTTGCTGTTAAACTAATAATCCAACTATAATGAGTTAAGGTTACATCTGTCTACAGTGGAAGAGTTAATGCTTCATATGTTATTTTTTTGTTTTCCCAGATTTGTAACTTGCAGTTGGGACAAGAAAATGAAATACTGGGATACAGAATCAGGAAAGTGTATTGTAAGTGATGTCATCATCATCATCCTTTGCAGAACGTCGCTCTCGTGGTCTGCCTGAAAGAAACTTGGTCTCTTACTAGCGTTGTCATGTCATACACTTTCATATCCAAGGAGTCTTTTATGTCCTGTGCCAATCCTCATATTGGTCCCCCCTCCCTCTTCCTCTTCCTCCTGGAACCATGCCTTCTGGTATTATCTTGTCCAGGCCGCCCGCTGTGGCGCTTAATAAAGCCAAAATATTTCAGCTTCCAAGGCAAGATGCTGTTTATCAGCCAATTTTCCTTAATATTTAGGACTTTAAGAATGTCAATATTTCTTTTCTTCTTTGTCCATGGTATTCTAATAATCTTTCTATTGTTATTTTTTGGGTGACAGCTAGTTTCATCTGTGCACATCATTTTTGTTTTCTTTAATTCAAGAACAGATTTTGATCCTCACTGTGTCTTTGGAGAGATACATAATTAAATGTTCTATATCCTTTACATTGTTCGAAATGAGGACTGTGTTATTTGCTTAGCAAAGTTCCCGAAAAAGTTTTACCATAATTATGATGGAATCATAACTTTCTGGTCATTTTTGACATTTCTCATTATGTTTTCTGTGTATATATTGAATAGGTATTGTAAGAGAATGCACCCCTGCCTCACTCCCTTTTGCACCTCGAAACCAATCTGATGTTTCAACAGCTGCTATATAGCGGCTTGTTGTTCCTGATAACAACTTTTAATCATCTGCACCAAATGTACTAGAAACTCCATGCTTCTCTTAATACTCCACAATTTCTGAATTTGGACACAATTAAAGTCCTTGCTGTTGTCAATGAAACAAGCATGGAGGTCTGCGTTGTATTCTCCACATTTTCAAAGATTGTTCTCATATTAAAGATGTGATCCCTAGTTTCTCTGCCCTGTCTAAAACCTGCTTGTGCTTCATATAGCTCACATTGAAGTTTCCTCTCAGTCCTCTTCATGATAATTCGTAAGTGGATTTTCTTAGTATGACTAATAAGTGTGATGGTACAATAGTTGGAGCATAGCTTCAAATGTCCTTTTTTTTTTGGGGTAAGTGATATGGAAGATGCATATTTTTATATAGCAGAGTGATTAGTGCATTTGCTTACAAGACTATGGCCCAGATTCAAATCCCACCAGTAGCAGGTTTCTTTTTTCTTAGTCACTGTCGTTAGACACTAGTAGAGGTTCAAAGTTCTCTGCAGACAAGTCATCCCATAACTGCTCTGTTCTTGTGCCAGTAGAAATCATACATCTGAAAAATAAGGAAATAAATGTCAGTCCTGGAAATCTTGAAGCTCACACACAAAAAGTAAATGCATAAGATATTCCAACAGTCTTATACTAGTATATATATATATATGCATACCAGTAGTATTTTTTGTGTTTTCCTTTTTTTTTTCTTCTTATCAGTATATCAAAGTAGTGTTTACCCATTGTGAATTTGAACATAGAAGACACAAATAATGTATTATACATTTTTATTGCCTGACATAGAATAATAACCAGTCTTGCACCTTTGACCTCTCCAAACAATTATTGAATGGGATGTTTATAACCATGTGTGTAACCAGGCTTCTTTCTTGTGGCACACAAGGTACAGGGAACTGATAAATTTTTTAGACATAATTTTTCTCGGCGCTACTCAAATAGACCCCAGGTCGACCGAGCCGTAACTGGGTACCAGGTACAGTCCTGGGAAGTAAAGGTGGCTAGTGTGATGATGTTGACCACATCACCCACCGAGTGCCGATTGGTCTAGAAAATATATAGGTCTAACCTTATATGCCCAATACACCTGTGGGATGAAAAAGGGTGTTTAATTTACTTTAACTGTAATAGTCACTTTGTGATGAGTACAGGCATAGTGTTAAACACTTTGTCCTGGCCCCTGTTTTCAAGAGAAAAAGTCCTGTGTGTAACAGTTGTTTTATTTGGTTGCGACCTTGTCTATTTCAGCTAGAAAGCTCACATGATGATTTTTTGACCTGCTGTAGTATCTCTCATAAAGAAAAACTTATCGCTGTTGGATCAGACTTGGGAAGAGCTTTAAGAGTGTATGATGTAGATAGTGGTCTTCTAGTTCATGACATCAAAGGTTAGCAATTTCAGTTATTTCCTTTTGCCCATGTGCATTCTGAAAACCGTGGTGGGAAATTAAAAAAATAGACTCACTGCCCCTCCTAAATTGCATGTTGTAAAAGTTGACTAATTAGGGGTGTTTTCTTTAAAGTTTTCTGCTGGTTAGAGAACACGAAACACACACAACACACATCGTGATTGTAACCGACTCAGTAAGCATGCTGAGGAAAATCAGGACAGTGCTGAGTGGCATGCCTCGCTGCGGAGGACACAGGTGAGGAGTATTATCTGGATTTGTTCACTGGGATACACCCGCGTGTTGGGAAATTAACAGGCAGACAGACTGGCTGGCTCTGCACAGCTTGGTGGAATACTGATGCATGATAAGGCAGACGTGGTTAGTGCCTTGTTTGAGAATGTGTACAATTCGGAGGAGCAGATGGATTACCACAGTCTGGTGAGACTGATGCAGGGGGGAGTGTGGAGGGGATCTGGCAGACGCGCGAGTTTCAAAGGAAAGGCAAGACGGACGTTTAATCAGAATGCTACTGGCACTATTAGTATCCGAAGTCTTCGCTGGCTGCTGAAGTTGGGGACAGAGCGCTTAAGGGAATGCCCCGAGTGCTGTTAAGTCGGTTCTTGAATCAAATTAAACTAAATCTCTGAAGTCAAAATACATCTGCCCGAGAGGCAAGGAGCCAACATTCTGCATACAAGGAAGCCAAATTAGTAAGTTAATGCATGACAAGCCAGAAGTTCTAAGGGCCCTTCAAGAGACAGTATACAGTGTGAAGGCACAAATAGATCATCACAGTTTGAGAGAATGGTGTAGTGAGGAGTGACCTTGGTGTATCTGGCTAATGCTCAATGCTCATGGGAGGTGTCAGGTAGATGTACAATCATGAAAAGATATAAAACTGAATGAAAAGTATATCAGGGAGCTTGACAATACAGCAAATACCATTGAAACATGAGCATTGCTGCTATAAAGCCTTTATCAGCACATACAAAAATCAAAACAAAACCACATGAATAACACAGAATCACTTAACTGACATATCCAGAAGCAGCTATGTTGATGTCTTGTCAGTGGAAGGAAGAGACATGTTGGGCCCGAGAATAAATGGCTGGGGAATGAGAAGGACAGTAACTCCAGAAAGTTAGATAAAATTGTGTTGACATTTCAGTCCCCTGGGTGTCAGCCTGCCCAAGGTGAAAATAAAATGATTTGTTTTACTGGTAGATGTATGTTACACTGTTACAGGTACTATCAAAACTGGAACTTTGCACTTGGTGCTGAAGATGGGAACAGAGTGTTAATTCTGAGTGCTAGGATATCAGTTCCTAACCCATAACTCTTTTATTTTAAGTTTAATGTTTGCCAAGCAGCACTTAAACAGTTTTAGATTACTCCATACAAGGAACATGCTTCTTTGCAAATCTCTCTGTTCTTATTCATCTGTCAGAAGATCCTTCACAAAATGTGGCTCGCTTCACGGCAGAAAGTTTCGATTTCTGTAGCCAATTTTCCAGCCCTGTTTGCTTTCATACCCAGTGCATCCTCTATGTCTTGTATTCACCTTCAAGGAGGTTGGCCTCTCCAGACCACCAACACTCCTAACGTGGCTAAAATATGTCAGCTTTCGAGACATAATGCTGTTTATGAGCCAGTTCTTCTCAATATTCAAACTATGTAGGATGTAAGCGCATCAGTTCTTCTTGGTCCATAGTATTCGAATAGTTTTTCTGTTCAAAAGCTCCCCTCTGTTGTACTCAATTGTTATATTTACCTTTTATTTTCAAGCTGCTGCTTGAGGTTATTCTGTCCTATATTTGCCTAAATTGGTTGTAGTTTTTATTTCAAACTGTAAGTAACTATTTCATGGAATCAAATGCTTAAATTAAAAGAAGAAAAAAATCACACACACAACCTGAAACCACTTCTTATGGGAATAATAAGAAGAGGTACCTTGGATGGTTGCTGAATAGGAATACTGACCACACTTGAGAAAGCCCAATGCACATGATTGTTCTTGCATGATAGTAAAGATATGTTTTGATGTGTTTTTGTGTGTGTGGATATGATATGAGAAAGAATAGACATAGAAGCTTGGTGACAGCTGGCAAGGAGGAGGCAAAGAGATACACTTCTAGGTGGCTTGGCCAAATGGATAAGACGAGACAAGAACACTGATATGATCTACACTTTTCAGCATGGCACATGATGATGATTATATTGAAGACACAAAATGCATAATTGTATTCATCATAAAAGTAAAATTCATTTTTTATACTGTGCCTAAAAATGCACGCAAAGAAAGTAAGTTAACTCTTTGAGTCCCAAGGAACGCATCATACAATCATAGGTTCCTACCTAGAAGCCCAATGAACGCATGATGCGCCGATTTTATGAATCTCTTTACTACCACCTGGGCCTGTGATGCTAAACCCCCTGGGACTCAAAGAGTTAACTTTTTTCAGGCTTTATACCTAAACAAACATTCCAGTACTGCGCACCACCAGAAAAAAAAAACAAACCTGCTTATTCTCATTCTAGTTTTCATCATTTTTTTTCAGGACACCATGGCGGTACATTAACAAGTGCCATATTTGCTTCCACTGATGACAAAGTTATCACAACATCTATGGATAAGACAGCAAAGGTCTTTGATCTTATCACAGCAAACACCACCATCAAACTAGAGTAGGTTTCTTTTTTGTTGAACATCTAGTTATGTTTATCATCATAATCATCCATTTCCATTTTTTGACGTTTAGCATCGTTGGGAGGAACATTTTGCGTTCATTTAGTTGATGGGTAGCATTGACTATTGTTATTTTCATGCCGATATCTTCTTCTTCTTCTTTGCGTTCGGTTTCGTATGTTCAGATCAGACCATTCGGTTGGCTGCCTCTATAAACTCGCATGTCAGCTGCAGGTCCTGCATGGTCTGCACACTTTGCTCTTGAGGCCAGGTGTCTTTTCGAAGTTGCAGGTAGAGTGGGCAGGTCTGCAGAATGTGCTGAGGTGTTTGTGGTCCTGTTTGACAGGCACACTGTGAGGACTGTACAATCTTTATTTTATGCATGTGGTAGTTGAGTCTGCAGTGACTTGTTCGTAGACGGAAAATTGTTGTATGTTGCTTTCTGTTGAGTCTGCTGATGGGGTTTTGTGGATGTTTACTGTTAGTTTGTTCTCCCCACAATCCCTGGTATTTTTCTTTGATATGTCTTTTGATTTGTGGTAATGACAATGAATGGGTGTGTTGTTTCTCCTTTGTTCCATTTTTTGCAAGTCTGTCTGCTAGCTCATTTCCTGGTTTGCTGCAGTGAGCCGGGATCCACTGGAGAACGATTTGTTTGTTTTCTGTGAGTCTGTGTAGCTGACGGGTCAGTTCTCTTTCTATGTTGTCTGGTGGATCCCTATGAGTCACCTTGAGGACTGACATGCAGTCACAAAGGAAAACAATTCTGCTGTTTTTAATTTTTCTTTCCTCTAGCACTTTGGCTGAATCAATAATTGCTTGCTGATCTGCTCTGAAGTTGTTGAAAGTCATCCGGAGGCACATGATGTTTCTACTGTAGTCCCATCTTGCAGCATGATGACCGATCTAGCTCCTCCATTTTTGTTTGCTCCCTCCAATGATCCATCGGTGTATACGTGTGTCCATTCGGGTTTTGGATAACAGTTGCCAATGCAGATATAGAAAGTCTTTAAAGTCATCAATCAGTCTTCTCCTAGGATGACCCCTTGCTTTCAGTTAGATCCTCTCTTGTATAGTGCCTGTGTTGGTAGCAGTTCTGCTTGCATTATAACGATATGACCAAACCATTTGATCTTCTGTTTCTCAATTAATTTAACGCACAGTGTTATTCCCTCAGTCTATCTGACAGTACCAATTTTTATCCTTCTCTTGGATGATTAAGATGGTGGCTTTCCTCAGGCTTGTAATTTCAGTTATGTTTTTATTTGTGTAAAACTGAGCAGCATGTATATGTAACTTATAATAATGTGTCTAACTTTCTACCACTCTTTGAGTTCTAAGAAAAATAATCTTACAGCATTGTAAATTGTTCAAAACACTTAAATTACTGCATCGCTAAAAATGTAACACACTTTATGGAAGAAAACTGAGCACATATATTTATAGAACAGTTGGCATTTGAATTGTGTTATAGTCAACTTTAAGCTAGCTACTTTTTACTTCCCAGGAATTTTCCTGGTGCCCATATAAGACTGGTCCACCCAGGAGCCAATGTCATTAATTTTTTTCCTCTTTTTTCTTTTAAATTCATCTAGTTCAAATTCGAATGCAAGACTTATTCCTCTATGGCACAGAAACATAGCTGCTTTGAAATGTCAACTCAGTAGTTCCTAAAAATTAAACTTTATCTTCCATGTTCAACCTTTACTGTCTCAGTACATGAAGGTTTCACAGTAGATACCAAAGTGATGAAATAATCATGATGCCAAATCATGAATATTTTACTTTCAAAGCTGCAACGTATATAGTTGTAGTGACCAATTTAAAAGAGGGGGGTGGGCGGGGGAGGGGGGAGCCAGATTTCTCTAGTATGTTCTGACTAAATCATAAAAGTAAGAGAGGGCATTATGCTATGGAGGGGACTGAATGGATACATTCATTCACACACCAGCTGTTGTCTGGTACTGAAAAAAGGTAAAAAGACAGATGGCACACTGTGTTGTGGTTTACAGCTATGCTGCAAAATCTGTACCATTCAGTCAATGCATCCAATGCTTGTTAAAGGAAGTGAGTCTATTCTTTTTTTAACCCCAAGTTGAGGCTCTAGGACCCACACATGATGATAACTGAACAATAACCAATCATTTAATAATTATCTTGGCGGAGCTGCGGAGCAACATATGGCAACACCCATTAGAACTGACAACTAAGCTTTGGGGAAACCTAAGAGACCTTGAGATGACATCCCAGTTTTTGGCCCACAGTGGATTATGCACATGATCAGAGATCGCTGAAGAAGAAGAATCATTATAATAACCACCACACCTGCTTCTATTTTGTTCGCATCATTCCTCCATGCTGTACATTTCTAGATGTAGTAAGAAAGCGGCTTTTGAGCTGAAATGCTATAGAAAGATTCTCAGAATATCTTGGACAAAGAAGATGAGAAATATTCATATCTTAAAAGATCTGAACATCAAGGAAGATTGGCTAATAAACACCATCTTTTCTCGAAAGCTGAAATATTTTGGTCATATCAAGCGCCACAACAGATTGGAAAAAATTATAGCAGAAGGCATGGTACCAGGAAGGAGGGGCAGGGGCCGACTGACACGAAGATGGGCACAGGATATAAGTGACTCCTTAAGTGTGAAAGTTCATGAGGCAGGAGAGCTGGCGAGAGACGGAGTTTCTTTCAGGCAGACTGTGATGAGAGCGACGTTTTGCAAAGGACCTGCTACATGATGATGAGTAAGAAAACCTTCCACAACAGTATCAAATATTTTGCTGTAATTTGCTGTCTAGTACTGGTCCTTAGTTTGGTCCTCTTAGGTCAGATATATCACCATCATTGTCCAGTTGTGCTTTTGTATGTCACATAGGGCTCACAGTCCATTCCTCCATTCCATTCTGTCCTGTGCAATATTGTTACCATGAATGGAATCCAGTCCACCATCGTTGGCCTCTTTCATCAGCGATCATTTTAGGGTTTCTGTTTGATGCTCTCACTTTCTCAGTCCCTTTATTTCCTATTTTGGTGTCTGTTTGTGATTCTCTGCTCATTCCTTCTCAGGATGTGTCCAGTATGGCACAATCTTCTCTGTCTTGTAACTGTTATTACCAGTGGTTGTCCAGACATTTCTCTTATTTCTTCACCCCTCTTGATCCTATTTTATGTTCAAGATTTGCCTCAGGCATTTGTTTTCAAATGCATTTAACATTTGCTCAGGTCAGCTATAGCCTTCCTCTATCATGTTGATGATTTTTCTTCTATAATATCAAAGTTCTTCTTCTACAGTATCATAGATGAAATGACTATACCAATCAGACAGTTATTGGTACTATCGGTATTGGAACTCTTTGCTTCCTGCTGAAGATGGGGATGGAGCGATTATGAGGTGTCATGAGTGCTGTGATGTTGATTCTTAATTCAACATCCAACGTTCGTCTAAAGCATCCAACAGCTTGCTATAATCTATTATCTAATACTGGGTCCTTCCAAATTCCATTCATTTAGAGGTCATAGCAACGTAGTCTCTGACTGCTCAATTACAGAAAATGGACAGAAATTTGCTACTGCATCCTGGGACAAAACTGTTCAGCTATGGGATGTTGCAACTGGGATGTACAGGTAAGACATTGCACATGATTACACCTTAATGATGAAGATAAAATCTTTAGATATCAAACAGCTCTTTGTGCATTTCTGTTACCATAAATAACATACTTTTTTTTGCATTCACATTTAAAAGGCAATTGGGGACACTGTGTTGTGGTTTACAGCTGGGCTGTGGCATCTGCATCTTTTGGCTTAGCATATCTGATTAAGTAAACTTCCAGCTTGTCAAAATAATGGTTTCCTATAGTGAATTTAAATAATGTGGACACAAACAATACAATTTGTTGTCAGGAATATTTTACTGTATCTCATCACGTTCATAGTTACATTTACATATAATGAAATATCTTATTATGTGAATAGTTACATTTACATATAATGAAATATCTTATTATGTGCATAGCTACATTTACATATAATGAAATATCTCATTGCATGCATAGCTACATTTACATATAATGAAATATCTCACTATGTGCATAGCTACATTTACATATAATGAAATATCTCATTGCGTGCATAGTTTCATCCACATATAATGAAATATCTCATTATGTGCATAGTTACATTTACATATAATGAAATATCTCATTGCATGCATAGTTACATTTACATATAATGAAATATCTCATTGCATGCATAGTTACATTTACAAGGAAATATCTCATTGCGTGCATAGCTACATTTACATATAATAAAATATCTTATTATGCGCATAGCTAAATTTACAAATAATGAAATATCTCACTACATGCAAGGTTACATTTACATATAATGAAATATCTCATTATGTGCATAGTTACATTTACATATAATGAAATATCTCACAATACGTGCATAGTTACATTTACATATAATGAAATATCCCACTGTGTGCATAGTTACATTTACATATAATGAAATATCTCATTATGTGCATAGTTACATTTACATATAATGAAATATCTCATTGCGTGCATAATTACATTAACATATAATAAAATATTTCAATGCAAGAACACATACTTCAGAACTGCTCCCTGCAGCAAAACTGGCAAGAAAACAAATGGCCAGAGGGTTGATCCAGAACAAACTTAGGGGAACCCTTGAGACTTGCTGCTAATATGCCGGCTCAAGAAGAAACACATTGCTACCAAGTTAGCAGGTAAAGGGGTTTCCTGCTGTACTATCACAGCTCTAGTTTCACTTGCAATTATATTTTATTTATAATTCTGTAATGCAGTTATCTACTGCTTAAACTTGTTTCAATCATCCTTAAGGTCTAAAGGTCCTGCAGTTCTGAAAGGAATCCATGATGGATCTGTCAGCTGTTGTGAATTCAGTAAAGATGGTGAGTATACTTCATTGTCTTTTTTGTCCTAACCATTGAAGTTGTTTAGCCCTCATGATGCCTGTAATTCTGTATATGCTATATTAACCCCACCTGACTACATCCTTACTCGCCTCTATGCAGATGTGAAGTAAAATGTTGATCTTGTAAAATGTTTAAAAAAAAAAAAGTAATAATAATAAAAATAACAGTAATAATTTTAAAAAAAAATATTTAAAAACAAGAATTATTTGTTTTTCTTTTTCGCATTTGATGCATATGGCAAATAGGGTTGGGCTATTATTTTTTTAGACCAACTGCCACTCAGTGGGTCATGATGTCACTGTCATGTCAGTCACCCCATACTTCCCAGAACATCATCTATTACCTGCTTTAGGTGGAGTTGACCTGGGAGCCAAAATCAGTTTTTGGAAAAATTCCCTGCAGTGTTGGTTTGAACCCTAGACTTTCTGGCTAATAGGTGAGTGTCTAACCACTACACTACTGCAGCTGCCTGGTTTTGTAAACACCATTTATTTCTGGGCTTGGACATAGAATGAGAACTCTGCAGCACAACTACTATAGAGCTGATGCTTTGATACCAGATTGTGATCATGTTTTTGTAGTAACTTCACTCCAATAGATGCAAGCTCTTTGAAAGCTTAGTTAGTTAGTTGGGTTATCATCATTGCACTCATCATAGCATGTCCATAGGTGCTCAGATCATCCCCTCAAGATGAACCACAACGTCCGATGGGTAATAGTACCAGTTCTATGTTGACTAACAAGTCTTCTGGTGTGTCTGGTATGCGTCTCGTTTTTTGCTATTCTGATGCCCTTTGAAAGCTAAGATTACCTAAACAGCAATGAAACTGACCAGAATTGATACTCAGGTCTTCTAGAGCAGTGTTTCTCAACCTGTTTGCTTGAGAGGCCTGGAAAATTATGAGAAATATATATTTGGGCTGGCTGACAGCTAAGTAAGAAACATGTGCAAATTTATGTAGCAATTTATTGATTAAATATGATGTTAAAAAATTACATATTCTAGCTGATGCAACATCTGCAGCATTGAAGTTATAAAATTATTTATGCTTGGTTGGAGTGATGTTTCTGGGAGACAAAGCTCTGCAATAACAAATATTTGATTTGGTTTCCACCATAGCTGCTACATGATTTGTAAAACATTTTTGGTAGACTGATACCAGTCCATGGAAAACAGGTTGACAAACGTGGTTCCTACAGATTCACCAACCAACCTGTCTGTCTTTTTGTGTTTTTTCCCCACAGGTCTTCTTCTTGTATCTGGCTCATATGACACAAGTATAGTTGTCTGGGATGTTGAAAACAGAGTTCAGAAGCTGAAACTCCAGGTACTGGTTTGAATATAAGATGCTATATTTCATATATAACACATCATCTAGTGTGGGCAGTAATGCTTCCCTGAAGAATGAGAACAAAACCAGAAGAGATAATGTGAAAAATTAAGAGTTTAGAAAAACCACTGAATTACTGAAACAATAAAAAAAAAAAAGTAAAGGACCCTTTCCACGCCTTTAGGCGTATAGGGCATATAGGGCTAGACCTATATTTTTATAGACCAACGGCACAAGATGGGTGATGTGGTCAGCATCACACCGGCCGCCTCTACTTCCCGGGATTGCACCCGGTACCCTCTCAAGGCTGGGTCGACCTGGGAGCCAAGGTCATTTTTTTTTTAAGAAAAGCCCGTCTCCACCAGGGAGCGAACCCACGACCTTCCGATCCGCGGCGCGCGTCTAGCCGCTCGGCCACGGCGACTCCACTGGAACAATACCAGTCATTAAATTATTAGAGAAACAAAGACTTCAGGGGTTTGGCTTTCTAATAGAAATGAATCCAGTGATACTGACTATGAGAGCATACAACATGAAAATGGAAACCACCAGAGCCATAAAATAAAGGATGAATTAAAGGAGTCACTGAAAGCATAACATGCAAACATGAGCCATTGTGGGGACAGTTCCCAGTTTTTTAAAAGTGTTTTTTTCTTTCAATGTCTTATTCATTGATGTCCAGCTAAGTTTCTTTCTCACCTTGAAACCTTGTTCTTTTCCCACTGGCTTCTTCTTGTAATCGTTTATTCTTCTTCTTTCTTCTTCTTGTTCACCGGCTGTGAATTCCGGCGGTAAGTCGCGGTTGTTCGTCCAAATGGACTTTTGGCTTTTACCTTGACCTGAGTTTTGCGTGTACATCCGTTTTACTGTCTTATTTGTTTGCAGTCCTCGTTCCCTGCCTCACCGGCAGATGTACTCCGACTTCGAGGGAAGACGTCAAGCCTATTTCTAGGTTGACTGTGGCCATTGTTTTGTGTGGGTCGAGATGTTGCCTCATTTGTGTGGTGTCCTCTTTGACCTTTAACAGGTGTGGCCCCCGGAATATCCTCCTTAAGGCAGCCCTAGGTAGAATTGTCAGCCCTCAAGGGAAGGCAGGGGCAGATCATGGGCATTCCCTGCCATCCAAGGAGGCTTCCATAAATGCAGAGCCGACACATGATGCTCTGTTTCTGGGCTCACCCAAGGAATCGTCACGTCCTGCCCATGACTGCTTAACCTCACAACCGTGTATTGAGCTTCCCGCGCTACAAGGCTGCACTCTCCGGAGATCAGCGGGGAGCAGCCCGCAGGTCCAGGACTTTTGTGGCCGCACAAATAAGTACATTCTTTTTCATCGTACGTTAGACACCTTTAACGTTGTTTCAGCTGTGCCCTTAGCACGACAGAATCAGGCTTCACCTGTTTGGTCCCAACACTCGGGCGAGTGGGACCAGTGGATACGGACATATGGCTTTTTCCTGCTCTGTACAAATTCTGATCGTCAGACTTTGAGCTTGCATGTGTGCCGTGGGGTATAACTTTGTCGGACGTTATTTCCTAGCCAGCTTATGAAGAGTTGCTGCCGTCGTGTACCTCAGCGCGGTGACGACGACACTGAGGATTGACAGAGGATGTACGTGGGTAGGATCTTGCTGCGAGAAATCGCCCACAAGAGATGTTACTCGTCTTGGCTGCGGGTAAATCTCTCGGTCAGGGTTGAGTCTCAGCAGCACAGTTTTCCATTCGCTTCCGAATTTTAACCGAGAGTTGTCATTTGATGGTACATTTAGCAAGCAATCCTTACTCATGTTCCGAATGAGTTTTGTTATACTTTTCACCCATGCGTTTGGGGGCGGGCTGGTGAGAGCCAGAAAGGTCACTACACCTCTAGGGGCCGCCAGCTCCGAGATCCCCTGCCAACTCTGTTAATGCTCATTTGAGACATTATCCGTGGCGCACGACGGGGACGTGCGGCAGGAGTCTTGCATGAGGTTCCGTAAAACCAGAACAATGAAGGACTGGCGCCCGAGTGGGGTACGGAATATCTCCTTATACACATCACATCAGACTTAACTTCCCCTCATGCCTGTGACCGAAATCACCGCGCCACTAATCGTTTATTCAAACATGGAAATTTGTGAGCGTCCCTTAGAGTTCCTATGTATCTCTATCTCCTGTGTACCCTTTCTACTAGAGGTAGGCCGGTAAGATGTCCATGAGTCATTCATTTGGTAAGTATCATGGTGATTTACAGATATAGATTGATTTTTTTAAAGTATTCAGAAACCATGAATTATAAGCCCTGTGGCTCTGTACTATGGATGTCGCAACCCTTCGACCTTGATTCCATGATAGATATCATAAATATGGGAGAAATGTGGCTTTTCTGCCTATCCCCTTGTGTGAACCTGGACCACAAGGAGTTTGTCATCTGGTCACCGCTCAGAGGATTTTAATAACATATTTCTTTTAGCATTTTTGCAAAGCACCCAGATTTTGCAGTGGGTCTCCTGTCTGGTTGCCTCAGACTTATCTATTTCAAGCAAACGAAAGAAGAAGAAGAACTTCCTATGTAAAAGTGCAAATCTTGACTTTATTACAATTACTTTGTTTAACTGTTAATATTTCAAATCGAAGTTACAGTAGTAAAATTTTCTTCTTCTTTCAGTTCATGTCCTGTGGTGCTGCTAGTAATATCTTTCAAAAGCCTTCTGTCTCATGTCATCATCATCATCATGTAGCAGGTCCTTTGCAAAATATCGCTGCCATCATGGTCTGCCTGAAAGAAACTTGGTCTCTTGCCTGCTCTCCCACCTCATGTACTTTCAAATTCAAGGAGTCACTTATATCCAGTGCCCATCTTTGTGCTGGTCAGCCCCTCCCTTTCCTTCCTAATACAATACCTTCTGCTATTATTTTTTCCAGTCCACCCTGGCGCTTTATATGACCAAAAAAGTTCAGCTTCCGAGACAAGATGCTGTTTATTAGCCAATCATCCTTGATGTTCAGATGTTTCAAGAATGTTAGTATTTCTTCTCCTCTTTGTCTTCTGTCTCATGAACATTCAGTCATTTCTAAGACAAATTCTGTTAGTTACTTTCCATCTTTCCAGATGACAGTGGGCCTAAGGGGAGGCCTTGGAATCACAGCTGTTAGCTATGGTGAGCATGAATAGCATAACCTGCCCACGTTATGAAAAGTCTTCCACAATAAGAGCATGGGATTTCAGGACCATTGTTGCACTCACATGTATTTAGTGCACTTCTTTTCAGACACTAAGCCTGCAGCCTGTCTGCAATCATTGTTTCATTTATCCCCATTCCCCTCCTGATTTTCCCTACGCAAGCAACATAGTTTATGCATTTTGTTCCCACCAATCTACCTCAAACCCTGTATCATTCTTTATACCATTGTAGAGGCTAGCCTCGACATCTTCTACCCATCCCTTATGTAATGATGCTGATTGTATCTGTTCTGTCATATTCTTCTTCTTCTTCCTTGAGTGTGTAATCTAGAGCAGGCGCTCCAGAAACCCCTTTCAGTTGTTATAGCCATATTTATGGCCCTACTATATTCAGGGTCCCCAACAAAAGTTAGGGTGGGGCTTCAAAAAATGAGAAATTGCATCCCACAAGGCGATGACATGTTTTTTCTCTACATTTCTGCAGATTTCACCCTTCACTGATTTTTAAAAAAAAGACTGATAACAGAATGCTGCTCCTCTTTGATGCATGTCAAAAGTGTGGTGGCCATTTTTAAATTGTCATTGTGGTGTCACTGTGTTCATTTGAACTATGATTAATTTGCTTAACCCTTTTGACATCCTAAAAAAAACAATATTGACAGGTTGCAAGACAGCAGCATGGTTTTATTGTAATTTCCATCACACTTTTAAGGTTTTTATTTAAAGCCCCCTCAAAAAATTGTTGCTTACTTGTTGGTGGGTAGTATGTCCCCTGCAGGAGGGCAGTATGCAGGATCTCAGTGATGAGAATCAAATGTCTCAAGAGGGGGCTGCGTGGTCTTGAGGCATGGTGTCCACCTCGAGTGCTAGAGGTTCCTGGTTCAATCCCTGGTAAGGGCTGGGATTTTTTCACTTGGACTTCAACTTCTAGTAATTCCCCCGGTCTCTGGGTAGTAAGATCGGAGGCTCGTGTGCATTGTTATGCACGTAAAAAAAATTCCTTGGCAGTTGAAAATAGAAAAGAGTAGCCTAAAGGTGCTGCTCGGGGAACATTTGGAGTTAAAAATCTACCCAAAGTATTTCAGGATCCTCACCTGTGCTACAGAGCCTGTGCATTCTGCTGAGCTTCTTTGGGCTCAGACTTGAGCTAGAAGATGAACGGAGCACTTCTCGGTAGCTAACCGTGTGCCATAATGTTGATCCGTTGTTCAAACCTCAAACTTCAAGTCCCGGAAACTCAGTTCAGCCACGTAACAGTTATACTGGGGCTTCCCAACAGATACACAGTAACTTGGTGGTGGATTGATCTATGACAAGCTAGATGTTGTGAGGGCGCTTTGGGAGCAAGTGAACAGTGCGCAGGCACCAATAAATCCTTACGGTCTGAAGAGAATGGCGCTGCAAGAAGTTACCAAGGGGTCTGTCCAACGCTCAATATTCATTGGAAAGGCAGGACAAATATACAATCAGAAAGTTACTGGTATCATCGGAAATTGTAACTTTTCAGTTGCTGCTGAAGATGGGGATGGAGCACTTATTGAAGTGTCCCAAGTGCTATGGTGTTGATTCTTTATTCAACATTCAACATTCCCTTACAGTTACACAGGAAACTGAAGTCCTGACTGTGCAAGGAGTTGATTTATTTAAAATAATGAGTATGGCACATTTTATATTTTATCAGGGGCACACCGACTGGCTAAAATATGTCTGCTTTAGTGAAGATCAAAACTGGATTCTTTCATGCTCAAAGGTGAATATTTATTTGTGTTTGTATGTATGTATGTTGTACCCCACCAGGACATCACACAAGCGACAAACACCCGGTGACACAAAGTGCCACCATGCGGATGAGGATCACCCGTGGAGGGATCCAGTAAATCTCATTCAGCCGCTTGGCCATATGTATGGCCCGGCTATATTTGGGGCCCCCGGAAAAAGCCAGGGTTTCAAATAATGAAAAATTGCATCCCACAAGAGGTTGATGAAAATGATAATTCGTGTTTGTAAAAGGTAAGGGAAGACCACCAGATTCTTGTCTCAAGAAAAAGCAGGTTAAAATGTATCATGGAGAGTTAACATGCTTAGAAACTATCGGTTTTTGGAAAGAGAAACATAGGGAGACGGATTTGAAATTAAAGGATTCCTTGTGCGGGTTCTAGGGCCCTATTTTGGGGGGAAGGAGAATAGGCCCAATGACTCCTAACAAGCATGTCGTAACAGGTGATTAATTAAAGGTTATTTTCTTTGAAGTAGAAGTGCATCTGTCTGAGAGGTGAGAAACCAACAGCCTGCATAGAAATAAGCCCCATCTGTAAAACAAATATGCATGTAAAGCTCAAGTTCTGTAACAAGATCAAAGTCTAGAAGGGAATGAACACCCAAACCTTTCCATCAGAGTTTACAGCTGGCAAAGCTGAACAAGAAGAAGAAAAAGAAATGTATCGAGGGATCAGCCTGACATTGTACTGATTACATAAGTAATCCTGGCACTGTTGTTTCAACTCAGATCACTCTCTTGGAACAACATGTCACTTTTAAACCTTTATGAAAATTCACAGATGGAATATGTTCATTTCCCTAATATTGAAACTTGTCTTTAAGTCAGACTATATAGTTTTCTTCACTTGTGACATTGAATTGTTGAATTGTCTTTTATCTGTAACAGATTTGTAAAAATTTATTTTTCTTCTGTTAGACTTTATCTCCCTAATAGAACATAAGCCTTGTCATCCAGTATTTTACCTTTACAAGTTGCTAACTGTGTGTCCTTCCTGTCTTTTTTCACTTCCCTCTCCATTTCCATTACAAGCATGTTTTTTCCTGCCTTTATTAGTTTGACCCCATTGGTTCCTGTGCAAATCAATTCTAGTGATTTTATTATCCAGGACTTTTTTCCCTGGTGGTACGAACGAATGAACGAACAAACTTTATTTTCAAAGGGTTACAAATTGGGCATGCAGGCCCGTCTGACATTCGGCCCTTCTAAGCACACGTTTTTCAGAGTACCAATGCCTGCTATCTAAAATGCATGTTATAGATATAGAATAAAAATATACATTATAGAATATAATACATACATCATGTGTACACAATCTTACACACTCACACACATATATATATATATATATATATATATATATATATATATATATATATATATATATATATGCTCTCACATTTCTCATACATGCACGCTCATATACAGACATACCTAACACACACATACATACATATATACATCTACATATATGCACAAAAAGAAAAGACACACACATACATATATGGACATATATGCACACACACATTCCATACATACACACCTACGCATGCATGCATACACACACATACAATCACATGTACAGACACCCACAACCACACATTTACACTCACATGTAAACATACATACACACATATACATACACCTACATCTTTACACACATACATGCATACATACCTAAATAAACACACATACTTATACATCTACAAATGCATACACACATCCACAAACATGCATACATACACACACCCACATACATGCTGACACACATTACATACATACCCACACATTCATGCATACACACATATACAATCACCTATACAGATACTCACATACATACATACACAACGGTATGCATTATGGGCATCATTTTTTTTTTCTTTGCAGCTCTGTTATAAAAGATACTTCCTGATGAGAACCAGCAAATATTTATTAAATTTATAGTGAGTACGATTTTCAGAGAAGAATGGATGCCAGAGTAACTAACAATGATTGCTTGAAAGAAGCTAATGAAAGTAGATCTCTATATACAACAATAAGAAAGTGAGAAACCCTGTTCTTTGGCCAAATAATGAGAAAAAAGACGTTGGAGAACATTGTCACAACTGGAAAGATCAGTGGAAAAAGGGCTAGAGGCAGACCAAGAGAGACGATGCTGGATGGGCTGAAATGATAACATGGAGGGATATCATCAAGAGAACTGTTCCAGGCAACCAGGGATCGTGATCTTTGGAGACGCATGAGCTACGCGAGTTGGCTGGGCACATGATGATGATGATGATGATAATGAGTTCTGGCACTTTTTTCCTAGGAAAAACCCGGTTATTTTCAGGTTTTCTTAATGAATAATTTCTCAAAGTTTGTTCTTTAAACATGAAGTACTGTTTCTTGTTTAAGGATATGACTCTGAGGTTATGGAACATCTCGGAGGCTGACCAGATACCGATTGTTCTGCAGAACAAGAAGACTGTTGGTGTCAAGGTTATAAAAGTATGTCATCATGTGATGTGTTTTAGGTCATTAATAGTGCACTTTTATTACCACTTTCCATTGGCTCTGCTATAGGCTAATGACAGGAAAACACCGTACAAACACACTCAAGCCAAACACTTGTTGCAACACACACACAATCTTTATTACCAAAGATGCAAACGAAGTGGTGGTACACCTCAGGAGGAGTAGCGCTCCTTATTCAAAACCCAGGCCGCGTCTAACTTTAAAATCGCTTAGAGGCGCCTTTACACGTTTATGAACTAAGCTCTGAGCCGCTACCACTCTCCCGTACAGTGCCAGCTCAACCCGCTATATCTCGATGCCAAAGACGTTATGGCATGCGCCAATGTGTAGGCCTAAGTGCGTCGACAGTGTTAACGCCACCAGCAAAGCATGGTCTGGCTTCTAGTTACAACTATTACTTTACATGAAACTATGAACAGAACACGTTACATCTAATCACTACGCTGGTACCTATCTTCATGTCAAAACAAACGGTCAGTCAAAAATCCACTCTCGTCCCACGTCCAGTTTCCTAGCAGTCCCCCAAGCAAGCGTTCAGCGTCCGGTCCAAAATGTGCACACCCGTGCGAAGTCCGCTCATGCTCGTTTCTACGTGTGTATGCACGTATTGAGTGTCACTAAGGGTCGCAGGGTACGATGACGAGATTCATCATCATCATCCTGAACTGTCCCATAGCAGGGCGAACCCTGACATCCACCCCTCCTTTTGGACAGATACTTCCTGATGACAGACGTCTACCTTACATATCTACGTCTGGAGTCAAGTATCTCTACCTGGGTATGGGATGTCGACAGAATTGTGTCTACATTCAGTTCAGTGCATCTCCGGATATCCTGCTTTCTTCCCCCAATTATTGTCACCAAACAGTCATGAAAGTTCCTATCAACATAGATTTGAGATGTTTCCTAATGAGAGTCAGTCACCTGAGAACAACGTATCTTTACATCCTTATGGGACATGTACATATACAAGGACAACACTAAACCATGAAGTTACCAATAGTATCACAACATGTCACAAGTACGCCACTACTAACCAACACTTTGTAGTCATAGAGGTTAAGACTAATTATATAATATTGTGGGTGGACTATTAACCGCCCGGGACCCACATGAACCCAACCCCACTCTCGTGCGAGTTGTACGCCATTGAGAACATAACAATGGTCGTCATAGACATGACCCTTCTATGGTTCTAACTAAGTCATCCCGACTCCTTGACATCCCGTCGAATAATGTGTCTAAAATTACCTAGCAATACCTGCCGCTGACACATGTCATACCTCTAGACATATAGTGTAGTATATAGAAACACAAGTGTGGCCTGTACGACACATTTGCAACAATCATGGACAATGTCACCTGTAACATGAAACTTCCCCCAATGTACAAGGTTTCTATCACCTTCATATATACTCAGTGATCTCTCCTCTGGAGCGACAATCTCTTCTAACAATATTTAAGTTTCAAATATGGTTTATAAGTTTCTTATTTAAAAACAAAAACAAAAATAAAATAATTAACCAAATTATTGTCAGCCAAAATCTACTACAAATTTACATAATTAACAAAACCAACGGGAAAAAAAAAAAAATACAAATTATTTCAAATAATATGTTACCACGTCGTGTCCTATTGTCAAAAATATTATTTACCTACCTAGTCTCGACCTTATATAATAATTTCCTATTACATAAAAAATACTATGTGTAACTAGTTGACTATTGCGGTGCCATCCACAGAACCCAAATGTGTGGTTGACCTCTCAACAACCAACATGTCACATTTAACTTACAATTACTCACGGAGAAATTTTTAAAATGCAAACCTGCAAAATTGTATAAGTTATAGTTTAACTTTAACGATTAGGAGAAAATGGAAAAATTACGTATTGAAAACCGAAAAATAAAATCACCAGAGAAAATTTGCATTTCCAAGCTGAAAAATCAACCCAAAAATTACATTTTAAAAATAAATAATGTGTACATCCAATTTGCAACATGAATACAAAATATTTCACAACAAGACATAGATATCAAAGATGAATTTGATGAATCAGATGTATAACATTCAATATGTAACAAACCAAACATAATACACTATCACAATTAACACATAACATATAGAACATGTAATGGATTACACATAATATGTTAATTCACGATCACCTAACATTGATAACATTTAACGAATAGAATATAACGTATGTAATCAACTGAATTTATCAGAATATGATCACATTTAACATAAATTTATCGTAGTGACGTGAATATTTCTATAGTCCCCACGTGTCATTTGTCCTTTCATTCACTTTTAATGTACATTAACTCACCAGTCATACTCTAAGTTGACGATGATCCAGTCGCTGATGTCCAGATCCACTGTCATTGACGATTCCACTTTTGTTGCCCTAATAATTTGAATTCCAGTGTGTTTAAACGATTAAGTTGAATGCTTTCAGTGTTCAATGAGTTCAGTTTCCTTGAATTGTAATCTTCAGTTGTACATTGTTCTAACGAATATTCACTTCGCCTTGAATTCTAGAATGATGCCTTTGAAATTTAGAATGTCATATCAGATAAGATCTTGCAACTGTAAGAGTTCACATTATTGCTTGAAGGAGATACATCTAGTTTTGCCACATTTTTGGTATTTCTGCAATATGAACAGTTCTTTCCTGAAACGTCTAGCACAAAGTCGATAAGTAAATATGTTACTGAAATGTTCTTGCTGTAGGTAAGCTCGGTTTAATGAGTCTTTCACAATGCTGGTTTTTGGATGCAGTACCTAATCATCTGGCTGTTTGTGTATTTGTATATTATATCAGATAAAGCATTGATGTGGAAAATGATGAACACAATATTGAAGTGTCTGTTGGTGTCATCGTTGACTATTTTCTAAAGGATAAATTATTTTCCCCATTTCTGAAAAGGATATTGATATGTCTGTACTAGTTAAACATTTAGTATTGAAACAATTTCATCAGACATGATAACTTTATCTTCACTTTCGAATGCAATCTTGTTAATCTGCAACTGATGAAAATTTTGTATCAGCAGTAGGTTTACTGCATCATTGACTTCCGACATGGAGACAATATATCTTTTCGATCTGCAATAAAAGTTGTTGAATACTGTATAATCATCACAGATCGACAATGTTTCTGTCTTGTACAGTACAATTGTGGATATAGACGTCATAGTCATCATAGACGACTCAACAGATCAGCCGAATTGTAGACAATATTGATGTGGGTTATTTCAAACTTGTTCTTTAAAAGTAGTGCCCACTTGGCAATCAAGTTGTTTTTAGGTACTGGTTCACACGGTCTGCAACAATATCTGTGCTGAATAAAGGCAACAGTTTCTTGTAAGATTGCAACAGCAAGGTACATACTATTGGGTGCTGTTTTGGCTTCGCCATGACATAGGCATCTGCTAAACTGTAATACATCGACGAAGGGTAACTCTCCTTTAAATGGGTACGCTTCTGGTTGCTTCAAACAGCCCGCACTTCTTATACTGTTCACGCTGGATCTGAGGATGGAAGTCAATTTAAATTGAGACAATTTTAAAATTGGGGAACTGGAGAGCAGTGTCTTGATCCTGGCGAAGGCCTGGTCAAGTTCAGTATTCCATTCAATCAGGTTGGAGGATCCCTTTTTTCAAATGTTTCGTATAGGCAACCGTTTTATGACTAACATTTGGGATGAATTGACTGCACTTAATGAGCCCAAGTAAGCTTCGGATTTCCTTTTTCTTTGTTGTGGGATTTGTCAGGTTCGAAATATTTGGAATAATTTTCTCATCCCTCTGCAGTATTCCCTTAAAAGTGTTATGCCCCAAAAATTTAAATTCATGAAAATCAATTTCGATCTTGGAAGGTTTAACTGTCAAACCAGATTGTTTACCACGCTCAAAAGCAGTTCTGAGCGTCTTTACATAAGTAACAACATTTTGAGAAAAGACATTTGCTAACTTTTTCATTTGATAATAATATGCAAATGTCTTTGTAGGTAAGACATTATCAGACACTTTTAATAGCTTCCAAGACGTTTCGGAAACACTACTGAGTTTTATTGTTTGTTTGTCTGTGGGACCTTCTTCAGGTTCCTGAACCAGACTACATGATGTTTCTACTTCATGTCCCTCTGACGTAATCTGTCTGTAAGCAACAGGTAGTACAGTTTGTTTAAATGTATAAACACCTTTATTGTAGAATCGGGTGAGGATAGCCTTTTTGGATACAAAAGACCATTTTTCTTTGTTTGAAAATTTATCAGATTTATCAGACAGTTGTAAACATTTTGTGAATGTAGTATCATCTCTTTGCTTTGAGATGAACTCATCTGTTACATTTGGTTGATCAGAATGAGCAAGGTTTAAAATATTATCCATTCTCTCGCGCTTTCTCACATCATTCTCTCTACTTGTTTGTTGTCTTGTAACAACATTACATGCAACATTATCACTCTGCCATTGTAATACTTCACTTTCAGTCAGAAGCTTGATGTTTTTACAATTGCCCAGAATCACATCGGCGACAGGGTTTGACAGCACAGCAAACTTGGTCACTCCGCAAAAATAGGCTGATTTGAGGTTAGCCCATGCCAACTCATATCTTTCTTTCGTACCTGAGAAAGTGCGGCATATAATGAACTCTCCTGTATAATCGCAGGGCTTTACTAGACTCTTCCGGATACCTAAGACAGTGGCACCCGTGTCCCTTAAAATTGAGCATTCATGACCATTCACAAAGCCCCTACTCAAGTTCAGCTTCCCCTCAAAGCTAGTAGCAGCGTTAGCGTCCCCTATAGCTAATATCTCGTGACCACACGTAAGCTTTCCATTCACATTAAATGACTTACACACTTCACATTTTATGTCTGTAAAAATTCATAAGTTCTGCAGCGCAGGCTGTTGGTTGCGTATCATTTTCTGGATCAGACATGACACTCTCACTTTCACACTCAC